TTTCACATTAAAATAGAAGAAGGACAGAAAAGGAATAATAATATTTTACTGTCAAAACCTTGTATTCACTGTTTGAACAAACACATTCCGATATTTTTTCCCGACGTTTTTTTTTACCAAATAAATAAAAAGAACTGAAAACATGAAAGTATGCTGAGAGGCCGTTTTAACCCGCAATCCCGCCGTGCCGGTATATGTTTAAGTTGGTTGTGGAGAGGGGCGCGGCGGCGAGGAAACCAGGGAACAAAAAAGAATGCCAACAAAGAAAAGGACAGGCAACTCCTTCAGGAGAAACAATAAATGTAACAAGGTGTATCTACAGAATCAATTGAAACGCCACATCTAGAAAAAAAAAGTAATTATAAGCACTGCATATTATAATGCAATAGAAATAATAATAGTTTAAAAGAGTTTTTTCTTGGGACCACATGGGCCTCTCTCGACATCTCTCAACTATTTCGTATATGTTTCTGCCATGCCTCTTGCCTAACTAAAGAGAAAATAAAACAAAAAAAAAAGAATGTAAAGGAATGATAAATGAAATAGCATGGCACTTGACGTTTCTACAAAAATAAACAGAGCAAAGCGCAGGTTTATTCTTCAATTGCAGCGTCACACACAACAATGCAGAGAAAAATACCATTACATGTACTTTTGACCCTTGAGCTAGAAACACACCCCAAGGTGCACGATAAACCAAACCAAACCAGATACAATAAAAGAATAAAAAGAAGTAATAGGCAATAAGCATGCGTCAATCAATAGCCTGATTCATTCCTTCTAACGAGAAAACGCATTTACAAGGAAGTAAAGGTTACAGGGGCTTTGGTCGTGTAAGAAAATAGTCAAACGGTTATCACGAACACAATCACAAACTTTAATACTAATAATAATAATAACAATAATAATAACCAAGCCCAAACTCTTCCTGAGCGTTCCCTTTGAAAAATATGTTTTGGGAAACACACACACACACAGAGAGGAAAAAAAAAAAACCAATACAGAAGGACGAAAAACTGTGATGAAATATATGTGAACTACACTTAAAAAAAAAAAAAAAACTGATGGAAACTGTGAAAAATAAAATCAAAATACAAACACAACAATCATCCACGGGTGGTGGGGGAAGGAAGAGGATTTCTCAGCCATAATAGGAGAGAGTGTCCGGATTTTCCTTCTGCATAGGAACATCCGCTGCTCTCCAAGCTCCAAGGGTGTAAGTGACAAAGCGACGCAGTTGTGATATACTAACATGTTGCGCCAGAGTGTCTTCCCTTGTTAAGATGGATACAACTTCACGAACAGCATTACGTCGAATACTTGAACTGATGAATCCCTTTCCCTTTGGCAAGGACAATTGTTGAAGAAAGTATGCGAGAGAAGGGGCTTCAATAAGCGGCATCCACCGAGGCTTAAAAATCTTTTCATTCTTATCATCTGCAGCAGCAGCAGCCACCGTTTCACACCATTGACGCATCGCATCAAACTGTAGAAGTGTTTCCCACAAAATTGCACCAAGAACAGCGTCTGCCTTTCGAACAAGATTACCGTCTTCCCCTTGCAGAGAACAACGCAGCTCAGTTGGTGGAATATGAATCTCTAGTGTGGGTTCCGCAGTATAATCAGAGGTTGAATACTGAAAACAATGCAGACCCGCAACTGTTTCCACAAAGCGATGCCACTTACCACGCCAAGTTCCTTCATTAATAATTTTTTCATACGCCGTAGGATAACGTCGACGAATGGTTTGTTGTAATCGTACAGAAGAGACTGAGCAAAGCGGTGGTTGTGGTTCTCCAGCACGGCGTAATGCCGCGAATTCCACCAGTACCTGCTGTGCCAATGAGCTTTCTGTCATGAAAGACTCATCTACAGGCGGTAACTCTACAAAAACGGAATAACGCATCCTTCCCCACCCTCCCCTTTCTTCCCTTTTTTTTTCTCTTTTTCTTTTTTTTTTTGTTTCCCATAAAGGAAAAAAAAAAGTGATACAAGGAGAATAATAATAATAATAATAATAATAATAATAATAATAATATGGACGAAGAGGAATAAAATAAAAAATAAACTCAATACAGTAGATACGGAAATGTCAATGTGAACAGAAATAAGCAAAACAAAAAAAAGTTACAACTTCATCAAAAAAAGGAAAGCGCAGTTCCTCTCCTCAGCATATAACTAGTAACACTAGTGAAAACAGTCGTCCAACCACCACCACCACCCACTCACTCACTCACTCTTTCCAAAACAGAATAATGGAAATGTATACAAAAATAAATAAATAAAGAGAAAGAGAGGATAAGAGAGAGAGATAGACCCTAGTCCTCTCCCTCCCTTATACTGTTTCAATACTTTACTCTCTGACACTACATCCCCCTTGCCAAGTTTGACGTTCAAGCCTAAAAGGTGTCTGTCCACCATCTTGAGAAAAAAGCATCGCGAGACGATTTACACAGAGCCGTCGCCTTAACTTCATACCTTTTTGCGATGTAAGAGCACCAGCACCAGAAAACTCAGGGAATGATTTCACAGCTCCTGTAACGAAGAGTGCAGCAGCTTTAGATTGTCGTCGATGAACTGGTCCATTTCCATCATCCCACCATGTATAAACAGAAGCATTTGCTGCTGCGTAGTTAAACGCAATATCATCACAGAGAAGTTCTCTTACAATACGCTCCAATGAATCCTCACGGGCTGGTAAAGGTCCAGAGGAGGTATTATAGGAAGCTACATGTACCACTCGTTGATAAGATTCAGCAAAAGCCTTATAATAAATACGGGAACTAATAAGAGCACGTGGTAAAGCTATATTATAGGCAAACTTTGTTTTATTTCCTTCTAACCGCTCTCGCGCTGCGTAACCAAAAGGACCAAAACGTCCACACATTGGTGTTATAGTTGTACACTCCACAACTGCCCGTACATCTACCGCAACAAGAGAAAAAGGTGATCGCTGCCAAACAGCAAATATACACTTTATAGTAGAGTAAGGAATATCGATATCATCATCCATATTAAGAACAGCTTCAGTATGAATAAAAGGTGCAATTAACCAGCGATTTGTCAAACTATTTTCTTTCTGAGGTAAAAAACGTAGAAGTGGTGCCTGATTAAGGACATCATTACGTTTTTTAGTCTCCGTTTCATATAATCTTTGTAATTCACGCAATTCTAATGGAATAGTTTCTTCTGGACCATTCCAAACTAAAATTACTTCATGAATAAGATGCTCATCTTTAGGCCATTCATATAAAATTCTATTGAGAATCTGAATTAAACGATGCATTCGCCTTGTCAAAGGATAAGACATTAGTACAACTGTTAATGCATTTTCAACTAATTCAGATTTTTCAGCAATAAGAGACATCTGATGATTCTCTTTAACAGGTTTCAATATCATGGTATTATCATTATCATTATTATTATCATCCACTCTACGATACCAGAAAATAAAGAAAATTTGAAATACCACTACTAATACTAGAAGCAATAGTTTTAAATGCCGCAATGTATTTTGACGTCGAAATTGTATTCGTCGGTTGAGCATTAATGGGCGTATAAGAAGACTAAGCACACTTCTTCCTATTCTTCGCAGATATATTCGTTCATAAACTAGGCTCAAGTAAAATCAAATTAGAAACCCCTAGATGCACAGATTAATAAACAAGACAAAAGAAATAGTAAAATAAAAAAATATATATATATATAAGATGAATAAATGAGAATGTGTATAAAGATAGAAAAGAAATTTTGACTCTCTGTAGATACTCCAATAATCAGCTACTTTTATTTCAACTTCAGATTATCACAACTTAGTAACAACGAAGCAGATCCTCTTTTTCCCTCTTCCCCTCTCTTTCCCAATTCACTCATATACCCACATCCGCAATCCAATCGTTTACCTGTTCCTCTTCTTTTTTTTTTCTTTGTCTTTCTCCTTATGCTCCTATTATTTCTTCAGTATCTATCTTCCTGTAAACACATTGAATGTGCGTGAGAGCGTGTATGAGCAAGTTGAGAGGTGGGGGGAGAAAACATGTTCTCACTTTTTTTTTTTCTTAATTTCTTCTTCATCATCATCGCGCCTATTCTGCTACATGTTTTCTAGAAACAGTATTTCTGCACTGTGTATACGTTATATGTATGATTTCTTTTTTTTTTTTTTAACAACAACAAAAACAAAATAATAATCCAGGAAACCTGCATACAAATATATATATATATATATATATATATCTAAAATTGACGTTCTTTTATTTTTTACGAGACAGAACCATTAACAATGGATGCTGTAATAACACCTTGACTTGTACGGAATGGCATATCCTTCCATACCACTTCACCTTTTTCATTTGTTTTAAGATCCGCTGCCACTTCTTCAAAGTGTTTCGCCAACTTCTTCTTTAATACCGGTTCATATGGCCCTTCATGACCCTCAAACACCACCCGCTCTCCAACAGGTGTCCCCTCTGGTACATCCAGCAGTACCACTCCACGAGCATCCCCTTCTGTTTTGGATGCACATAATACCATTCCTTCCGAGAGCACTCCTCCAATCTTGCGTGGTTCCAGATTGGCAATCACCAACACCAGACGATTGATGAAATCATCCTTTTTCACATACTCCTGCAGACCACTAAGGATGGTGCGACGACCACCTGCGGCCTCACCAAGATCAATTTCCTCAATATAGAGTTTCTGACTGTCTGGGTGAGGTCGCACATCCAATACCTTGCCAACCACAAAGTGACACCTGGACATGCTACTAGCATTACTCACCTCCGCAGCAGCAGCAGTAGTATTATTATTATTATTATTATTATTGGATTTTCCACCTTTTTTCTTTCCTTTTGCATCTGATGCCCCATTGCCGCCTTGTGGTTGTTGAGTTGCAGGCGTTTTAGCAGCCACCATAGGCTCTCTTGCAGCAACAAGTTCGGCGATCCAGCGTTCCACGAATGGAATAGATCGGCGGAGAAGTGGACCCTCCAGATGTGAAGACATATTACTCTGGTTTCTCTTACATCAGAAAGAAGAAGAAAAAAAAAGAATAAAGGAAAAAAAAAGAAAACACAGATGAGAGAGTCCATCCAAGCATTAAAGAAGAAGAACAATAAAAGAGAAAAAAAAGGAACAAAAACCAAGAAACGCAGACACTATATATATATATATATATATATATATATATATATATATATATATATATATATTGATGGTTAACAAGAATAATCGGTAGTAGTGAACTAAAAGGGAGTAAATAAAATTTTTTCCTTTTTTTTTTACGGTCCTTTTTGTTCTTCCAGTCAAACGAAGTAAAACAACAACAATAACAACAACAACAACAAGCGGATACTCTTTTATTTTCCTCTTGGAAGAAAGAGGATTAAGTACAAATTTCAATATCAGGATAAAGTAAGCAACACTCTACACCACACCTGAGAGAATTATTTTCCCCCTTTTTCCCTTTATTTTCGACCATTGATAAGAGCATCCACATCCTTTAAACGAATTTCTGCTGGAACGTAAAGTAATGGCCAACTTCGCAGATGCTGGGTATTATAGTACTTCTCCATGAGATGCAGAACTGCTGTAGGCGTTAGATCTTCCATAATTGGTGGATCTACATCAGAAGCATGGACAGCAAGCCACGCACGCACACGCTCGGCAAAAGTGAGAGCACTGTAGTACTTAAATGGTCCATGCGGTGGACACACCGCAATATGACGAAAGAAAAGAGTCATCAACTCACTATTCGCTTCTAGTTGCGCTATCGCAGCGATGGTGTCACCCTGTTCCTTCTGTATTAAACCTTCACTACTTGAGGGCATCTTTCCATCTGATAATGGAGAGGAGAAGAATACACACACACACAGAAAAAAAAAAGAAACAACACCATATATATATATATATATATATATATATAGAGAGAGAGAGAGAGAGAGAGAGAGAGAAAGAAAACACCTTAATGGATTATGTATATACGACAAAAACGGTACTCTTCTGGTGATATGAGTATTAAATTTTTCTTGTGGGGGTACAGAGACCCCTTTTTCTCCCTTTTCTTGCAGCTCCTCATACTCAAATCCCTCCAAATAAATAGAGACATGGAAACAGATTCTTACCATCTTCATCTCCACATGCTGAAAACACACAAACACATTAATGAACAGGAAGAAATAATAATAAAAAAAAACAAAAGAAAAAAAAAAAAAGGAAAGGACCCCAATGTTTCAAAATTAGAGTATTACACTCCATCACTGTTACACTTCTCTTATCTTTTTATTCTACATTTCCTGTTACAAACGGGCCCTTTTTTTTTCCTTTCTCTTTATTTCACCCCTCTTGTGTACGTAATGTTAAACTTGCAACAAAAGGCATGTAGACAGAGAATAAAAAAAAAACAAAAACAAAAAAGAAAAATAAGCACCAGTTTACACTGTGAGCCGTTCACGTTCACAGCTTGGTGGACCATACAATTTTTCGCAGTGTTTCTCAAAGCTTCTCGTCATAAGGGAGACCACGTGAGACATAATAAATTTTGAATGCAGAGGATTCTTAAAGGCAAAACTCACAATAAACCGAACTTCCACCTGCTGGTCTTTCCCTGGAACTGCGTTAAATTCCCAAACACAGTGAAGATCGCTTAACACAGGACTGCGACGCTGATCGTTTCCCTCGTTCAGCATCGCCTGAACTTTTTTACCAGGCACTAAAAATACCCGGGATGTATACTTCTCTTTGAAGAAAGAGAATCCCACTGTGAGTGTGGCGAGCATTTCCATTGGAGTATTGCTGGTGGGGCTGATGTTGTTGTCGCTACTACTACTATTACTATTATTATTATTATTATTATTATTATTATTATTATTATTATTATCATTATTATTATTATTATTATTAGTATTTGGCTGCTGTTCCTGTAGGAGTTTTTGGGCTTCTTCATTATCCAAACGTTTGACTTGGTGCACAATAGAGTCCAGACACCATGGCAGAAAGGTGCTGTACTGGGCCACATCCGCAACAACGTGGTAGAGATTATGTGGAGACCATCCAAGCACACAGTGCTCTCTATACTCCTGTCGCATTTCACCACTTGGCTCTGGAGTGGGACCCCACTTTGGAGGCAAATTAAGTGCATCAGCTACCAGAGAAGCGGCAAACTTTGCAGGGGTTGGTACATGTTTTCCGAATGTCTCAGGTGAGAAAAAAGAGGACCGTTGAGGGCTAGGGTTAGGATTAGGATGATGATGATGTTGTTTTTGAGCATCATCATGATATTTCTCTTTTGGTTGCTCCACACTTTGGGAAGAGGTACTATTACCAAGACTGCTTCTGCCGTTATTATTATTATTATTATTATTATTATTATTATCATTACTCTTAAGATCGTTTTTGGAAACATTTTCTTCCTTCTCGGCATGTGATGTGTTGCTTGCCTCTTCTGAGATTATGGTTTTTGTTGTTGTTGTTGTTGTTTTTGTTTTTGTTGATGATAATGTCTGTGAAGAAGACGACAAATTAAGGGAGGACGAAGTGCTAGAAGTGTGTTTCTCCGCTGCAGCCTTAAAGAAGGGTTTGGCGTCCGATGCCGCAGGTGCTGGTGGGAGTCCCGGTGGGATCGGTGGGGTTGTGAAGAACAACCGCTGTGTAGATCTCCCGATGCGCCCACGCACACCACAGTAAAGAACAGATCGCATTTTTTTTTTTTTTTTAATCCCGTCGCCTTGTTTTCTTATTCTTTTTCTATTTTTTTAAGATTTTATTTTTTCTTTTATTTTGCTTTTACACCAAATAAGAAAAAAACAGGGACGACGACCTGTACCACTATACTTCTTCTATTACCACCTCCGCCACTAGAGAAGTATACACTACTACTCGAAGAAACACCATGTAGAAAAGAGGAGGAAAAGAAGAGAACAATAAGAAAAAGCAAAAAAAAACCCAATAAAAATAATAATAATAACTCACATTTTCATCTCTACAAAGTTTCAGTAAAGAGCAGCAACAACAGTAAAAATCAACGAGAATTTGCTCACCCCAGCTCCTCACCAATGTTACGAGCATATATATATATATAATACTGAATATGAGAAATAAAAAGGGAGATAATTTCTTGTTACTAATTACAATAAGAAAAAACATGGGGTATCACTGTATATGCGAAGCACAATACGAAGTTTGCTACTTATTTTGATATTGGGAGTCTTAATAATTGTTGTCATTCTTCGACATCGAAGTACTTACTTTATCATATTTCCATTTTATTTCAGTATCAACTCATTATCAGGCATTATATTTATTATAATTACCCTGTAATGATTTTTCCTATTATTTTTTTTTCCGTTATTCCATCCATCTTTTCAAACTCCTACACAGAATGAGCGACTCTGTAGCGGAAAGTAATACTGAATTCTCCAGTTGCAAAAACAAAACAAAGAGTAAAATACACAGAAAAACAGATTCCAAAACGAAAAAAAAAGAGAGAAAAAACAACAATAGCAATGAAAACACAGACCATATAAAATTTGCAATAATATAAAAAAAAACATAAGAAAAACAAAAACAAAGATAAGACCATAATGTTCACATCTCCCTTTCTTACATCAGATATCGCCCAACACCAGGAGGCTGGGGTGAGGTAGGATAAAATGAAGAAAAAAAAAATGGTACATACAAACAAAACGAGGACAAAAAAAAAATCTCGTTTTCACATATTGCTACCATCCTCATATCAACCCCACCCCCTCCATTCCATACATACATAACACCACCTCCTCCACCCATTCATTATCTCTTTCTTTCTTTTTTTCTCTCTCTCTCTCTCTCTCTCTCGCTGTGGACACTACAACTCCTGAAGTGGGCTTTCCAACTCTGGGCTCTCTCTCCCTCGCCGCGTTGGACTTCTGTTCTGCCGCTGCGCCTCCGCCGCCTCCCACCGTTTGGCCCGCAGCGCCTCGAGTGTCGCCACCCGCCGCCGCCGCCCGTCCGCGAGGGCCTCCGCGAGCGCCCGGTGTTCCCGCGCCTCCTCCGCCGCCTGCGCCTCCCGCCGCGCCTGCAGGGCCGCCCGCTCCACCCGCAGCGCCTCCGCCCGCGCGCAGTTCTCGCGATACGCCGCGCCGCCCGCCCCGCCCTCCGCCGCCGCTGCCGCCCGCTCGCGCCGCACACGAGCCACCGACGCCGCCGCGACTGCCCGCCGCAAGTCGAGGAGCTCCGCCGTCCACGCCCGTCGCACCGCCTCGTCCGCGGCGTTCTGCGGCACCCGCAGCGGGGAGCGGAATGTGCAGCGCCAGTCCCTCGGCGAGTGGGAGGAGTCGGGGGTCGCCGATCGCGCCTGCACACGGTCCCGCGCGGATGTGACGTACTGGCGCCAGGTGGCAGCATCGAGAGTGAGACAGGCACGATTGTACTCCCGCGCCGCATCCCGCTCCGCCCGCATCGCCCCCGCCCGTTCACGAAGTTCGGCTTCACGGTGTTCACGGAAGGCAGACCACTGCTCCCGCTCCGCTCGAGCCGCATCACGCACAAGTTGCTGCTCCTTCTCTCGCGTTTCTTTTTGTAAGGCCAGATCTTGAGCAATATTTTCACGCAGCTTCGTCGCCTCCATCATCTTTCGAATAGCTACCCCTTCACATTCCGCACGGACAGCCTCACGCTGGGCCTGTATTTGCATCAAACGCGCATGATCTACAGGTCGAGGGGTATCACCTAGAATAGACCACCCACGGTGTCGCATCCGCGTTACAGCAGCCGCATACTCTCCCTCCTCCAACTCTCGCTGCCTTTCTGCTTCAACAAGGCGTCGTCTGCGTGATTCCACACGTTCTTTTTCATCTTGTTCTCTCATTGTAGAAAACAATGCACTATGCTTCTCTCGCCATTGCATATAATCTCGTACTTTATTCACATGTAATGTGTTTCCCACTACTAAGGTTCCATTAATACACGCCTTTGCTCCTTCCGGTACATCAGGGTCATTTGTCTGGTTCTGATAGAGACCTACTGTTCCATGTCCAATACTCCGCCTTTTTAACGGTATCCTCCAGTAGTTATTCCCTCCTCTATGCATGTTTGAACGGCCTTTTCCAACAGGGAAAGGAGAAGGACACGCATTATTGCTACCAGTGTGACCCGACCCTGATTTTTTTTTCGAGTGTAAAATATCAGGTGTACTGGAATGGGTGAGAAGTTTCCGACTACTGCTTCTTTTTTTGTTGTCATCATTATTATCATCACCCTTCAAAGGGGTCAGACCACCATCATAATTAGCCTGATTTCCCATCGTTGAATCTCCCTTACCCACTTGATTTTTGGAGTTATTTTTATCATTAGTAGTTTGTGCATTATCAGAAGGACCATTTGCTGCTTTCAGAGTGGAGGTTCCACTCGTTACAGGAGGCAAAGAAGCCGCAGTTCCAGAGTTACTGAGAGTATCCTCAGCTTTCATATCGACACTCTTTACTACCTTCTTTGTACGGGGCCTGTATCCAACGAAGTGAAATAGTTTTATTAATGCTGATATAGTAGCAGTATTGGTAAGAACTCACACTGAGGTGGCCAGATGAAGAGAGACCAGAAGAAGCGAAATAACAAAACAAAAAAAAAAGGCGCTGATACAACACGCTAAGTTTCTTCCCTTTTTGCCTACAACGTCTTTATTATTATTTTTTTCTTGTTTACGCGTCTCCCCCCACCCCCTTTGCCTTGACTACTCTTCCTCTACTTCTATATATATTGGAATGGTATTGAGGATAGTGTATGATCACGAGAGAGAGCACGAGAGCAAGGCAAAAGAAAAAAGGTAGATATACAGAAAGAAGAAATAAAGCAATAACAAAACCAGATTAATATCAAAACAGAAAACAAAAAAAAAAACAATAAAGAAGAAATGAGTACTTAAAAAAAATAGACTAAGTCAATCTGTTGCGATCGATTTGTACGATTACTAAGATCACCAAAGAACGCTACTAGGAAACAATCATTGACTCGCCTCGATGTAATGAACTAAGTTTTTTTTTTTCTTTTCTTTTCCTGCTTTCCCTCATTCTCTCTTTATGGCCTCGTCCAAGTTGTCTCGCGGGTTTGGTGATTCACGTAAAAATTTCGTCCGGTTTTGGGGTCAACACGCTCTTCCCAGAATGGTGGCAGCGCGCTTACAGCAGACACTGAGGCAGTACCACCCATAGGTACTACAGGTTCCACAGGGCGTTGTTGCTGCAGTTGTTGTGGTTGTGGTTGGAGATGCTGTGGTTGTTGTTGTTGTTGTTGTTGTGGCTGTTGGAGATGTTGTGGTTGGAGAGGCAATAATGTTGGTCGTGTCCATGTTGTCTCACGTGTCTGATGATTAACATAAAACTTTCTTCCACTCTTTGGATCCACGCGTTCTTCCCAGAATGGTGGCAATGGATTCATCTCAGTCACAGTAGGGGTCAGCGATGATGATGATGATGACGATGATACTATTGGGGCTGTGGGCATCGGTACTGTTGTTGATGTTGTTGTTATTGTTGTTGTTCCTCCAACGACTGCTGCATGAACCCCAATATGAGGATTAGCAACAGGAAGAGGAACTGTGGGAGTTGCTGAGGGAAGTGTCCAAGAAGTTTCTTTGGTTTGACGATTCACATAATACTTACGACCACTCTTGGGGTCTATACACTCGTCCCATCCCATTACTGTAGTATTCCCAGCAGTTACTGTTGTTGGTGTCGGTGTTGGTGTTATTGCCACTGTTTGACGTTTTTCCTGTTGTCGCCTATACCAACTATCCACTTGCTGTTCCAATTCCACCTGATCTGTCACACCATTTGGATGTGTCCATGTCGTCTTCACCGCACCAGTGGTGGTGTCTGTGTGAACAAAGTAATGGCGACGACGTTGACGATCATACATGAGTGCCCATCCAGGTGGAAGTCGTGTGGAGACCTCAGGTTCTGGAAAACCATCAAATTCAGTGTTTTCATGACGGGTCGTATTAGGCACAGGAGTAGTAGTAGTAGTAGTATTAGTATGAGTAGTAGTATCAGAAGTATTCATTCCTTTTCCTCCTCCTACATATTGTGGTAGTACTTGTTGTTGTTGTTGTTGTTGTTGTTGTTGTAATTGAGGTTCCCTTTTATCTGTCTTTGGTAGCCCTTCCTCTGCCATCCTTTCGAACTCCCTCTCCCCTTTTTTCTCCAAGACTGGAGCTGTCGCAACCTGTCCATTGTTTTTACCACCATTAAATTTCATCTGCATACTATTATTATTATTATTATTATTATTATTATTATTATTATTGCCATCTTCACTATTATCATGTTTATATTGAGCATACTTGTCAGTATCATCGGATTCAAAGGGGTTTGGAACGCCTGAAATAGGTGGAGGAACATGTTGAGTGTGTCCGGCATATAAAGATGGCACATCATCATTATTCTTCCCTAAAGATGTATCCACTCCTGATGATCCAGCAGGTACCATAGATAGATTTATCTTATCTTTTCGTTTTTTTAATCCATCTACACTTCCTCCTTTATCAGAATCTGTGAGTCGTTGCTGTAGTTGTTTAAGCTGCAGTAATACAGAGAGTGGGAGTTCCTTTCCTTCATGTTGAAGTGCTGCTAATACCGCACTAGCAGCCTCTGTATTAGGAACAAAATCCACACCTTTTCCTTTTGGAATAGTAGCAATACCACCATTATTCCCATATGTAGAACTTACATAGGCGAGAAGTTCATCCGCCACACTGTCACCATTATAAACAACAAAACATATACCACAACCAACACTTTGTGCCCATTCAAGTGCAGAAGAGATGTATGCATTAGATGAGAAATACACAAAAGTTGTGGATTTAATATTGTTGCTACTCATATTATTATTATTACCACTATTTAAATTATTTGAAGCAGATGTTGCCTTTGTGAGCATGGACATGGTTTTTGTACATATAGCGGAATCCACTGGTGATCCCGCACGACCTGCGATTGTGTCTAACACAATTGTTTGAAATCGCAAACGTCTTAGTGTGGCGATAAGAACTTCTCGTTCTTCTTGTTCTTCTAATGATTTAAGTATAGCAGATGAAAAGAATACCACACGTTGTTCTATTGCAACTGGGGTGGATGTACCGGAGAAGAGTTGTGTGTTAATGGCATCATGCATCTGTTGTACACATTCACGTACATCGGCCTCTGTGGATGGTGTTACACCTGAGAGAAAGTAATCCCCATCAACAAACAGATGAATCATCTCAGTAGCAATAAGAATAGGTAATAAAATTTGACTATTGATAGAAGGAAATATATATATATATATATATAATCCAAATAATAGAGAGAGAGATATATATGCTTCTATGTATTTAAAATCGGTAAATGGGGAAAAAAAAAGAAAAGATAACTATACAAGAGATCACACCACTCAATTAATATCAATTGCAAATCAAGACACACACAAAAAGGGTCTAATAGAGAGAGGATACCTTCATTTATACCATGTAAGTATGCATATATATATATATATATATATATAGACGTACTTTCTGTAGAGAGGAAAAACAAAACCAAACAATAGTGTAGAAGTAAAAAAAAACCAAAACAAGAGAAAAAAGAAAAAAAATACTTATTTATGAACTCTGTTATAATGTGATGTATATGTGAAATACACTCGAACATATCTAATCCATTATAATTTTAATAAATAATAATATCTCTTACTCTCCACGTATATATATAAGTATATGAGAGTGAAAGAGAGAGAGAGAGAGTTAAAAACAAAAAAAAAACAGGGGAATCTGTAATGGTATTTTATACCAATAAAAGCCCTACCCATTCTCTCTCTCTCTCTCTTTTCCCTTTCCTCATATCCGCTGGTAATGAAGTACAGATATCAAATGAATAATAAATAAATAAATAAAAGAGACGACCGTCTATACTCTTAACGCATGAACGGGTGAGTTCTCACCGCTGTGCGCCTGATAAAGGCGTTGTAGATTTACCTCCAACACATCTGCACGGTGTCGTAGTAGTAATATCGCCTCTCCAGCACTTTGACTAATACCACTCTCTCGTAAATGTGTTAAACTTCCCATGATAGAAGAGCATTGCTGTCTATTATCACACATCATCACATCTGGAAAGTGTTTTATTCCAAGCTCAAGGAATCTCAACACTCGAGCCAACGCCGCACACCAATCCCCTCGTGCTGCTGCTGCTGCTAATGATGATGATGATGTTGAGGATGATGTAGAGATGAGAGAAGATAAGGAAGGAATAAGTCCAGCATCCGCAACGGCATCTTCGGATTGCCAATGAATACTTTTATCTGTTCCCACGAGAAGTTCCCGCAGGAGTTCTGTCAAATATGGAAGAAGAATATAAAAGGAATCTGCGGTGAGTGTGTGGAATTGTGTGGGACTATCCGGCTGTGGACTCGACTCATCTAATATACGTCTGCGAATAAAACTTCTATAGGCTCGTTTGGCATCTTGCATTAACTCCAGTGCGGCATCCTCCTCACCAGACTTACCATTATTATTATTATTAACATTATTAATATTATTATTATTATGAGTATAAGGATTCCCTTCACCTTCACATTTTATTCTATCCGGATGGACATGCGGTTCACTGTTGTAGGTAGCCACAAGAAGAAGATCATGTAGAGAGAGATCATGATGTGCAGAACGGGCTGCCCATTCACGGAGTACCGCAAATCCTTCCGTGATGCGCTGCATGAGAGCCCGTTGGGCGGTGAGTCTTTCCTCAATCGCCAATTGTTGTTGTAAGAGACTTGTGATTTGAGAATGAAGAGATGGAGTTGTTGTTGTAATAGTAGTAGTTGGACGGCCCTGCATAGGAAAAGAGTTCTGCATGATATATATATATGTATATATATATATATATATATAGATAGATAGATAGATTGATAGTTCCACTCTTCCTATTCCTTCTTCTTCTTCCTCCTTTTGTGGAATGATGGTTCAAGTGTAAAATCTCAATAACTTCTGTTGATGAATACTGTTTGGTAAGGAGATAACTGGCTACAGTGAAGAAACAGTAAAATAAGAAAAAGGAAAAAGAAAAAGAATAGAAATATACACAACAACAACAACAAGAAAAAGAATATTATAACTAGAGAGTAATTTATCTTTTATACAACCTCCCCTCGCATACATATTTATTTATTTATATTTTTTTTTTTAGTAGTTTTGTATTCATTCCTTAACGTTCATTGAAAGAACATCAAGAAAATAAATCCATAAAAAAAGAACAAAAAAACAGTGAGAAAATCATGGATGAAGGTCCATCATCGTAAGCACCGTAGAAACCACATACACAAACACAATTGATATACATACATTCTTACTATTACTCTGGAGACACCATGCAGGAATAACAAGTAAAGATTCTCTCCACAATAAAAAGGTAGAGAGAAAAAAAAAAACAAGGGTATTTATTCACAGAAGAAAAAAAAAAGAGCACTCATACATTTTCTTTTTTTAAAAAATGATGAGTACAGAGTGAAATAAATACACGCATGGATTCATCTTGCAGATACCTCAGAATGATACAGTAATATATGTATGTATATAAATACAATGGAATATATATGTAAGTGTTTCTTCCTCTTCTTCTTCCTCCGCTGCTGCTGCTACTGTTGTTGTTGCTGAGACCTTAATAGTTCAGCTTCGTGCGGCGCCAGTGACGGCGCTTCTCGTTCCACTTAATACGGTTACCTGTGCGAAGGCGAATCCAGTAGGGCACTGGCTTGTTCTGATTCAACTTCTTCGCGTACTTCTTCTTAACGGCAAGTGGCTTAAAGCGCCCCATTCTTTTTGCTGTATGCGGGGTTCCGTGTGGTGACTCGGATGGACTATTCCTCCTTTTAATATAAGGATATATATATATATATATATATATATAGAGTAGGGTGTGATCAAAGAGAAGAAATAAAAAAAAAGAGAGAGAGAGAGAGAGTGAAGGTACTTCAATAGTAGTATTTAGATATATACAAGTACAGGAAAATAAAGGGAGTTTAGGAAAATACATGAACACACACAGAAAGAGAGAGAGAAATTTACACAACATAACGATTTGGGGATTGAAACCTCAATGTTTTGAATCACAAAAATGAAAACAAATCAACACATCCATGAAGCGAACGAAAATGGATTGAGTAATATTCATATATATATATATATATATATATATATATATATATATGAATATATATCCCTTGCGCAAGCATATTTGTATATATATATCGTGAGAACAGCCCAGAGCACCCACTGGGGCGATACTGTGTGATAAACAAAAGAACGAACAAATAAACAATCAGAGAAAGAGAAAAGGCCAAAAAGAAAGAAGAGTGTGATCGATCAGAACGAAAAGCAATAAAGAAAAAAGGGAAAAGAGGAGGAATATTAAAAAAAACAAAAAACAAAAAACAAAACGAAAGAGAATAAAATATTTCTTTTGCTATTTATTTACTTTTTATAACTCTTTTTGTTTCTTTTCTTCCTTGTTTCCACTTTAATTTCGTTCCCTCTCTCTTTTTTTCTTCTTTTTTCGTTTCTTCTCCCTCCTCCTCTTCTTCCCACCCACTCACGCTCTCCTTTTATCCATTTCATATGCCCACAAAGAAGAACTATCCCTAAACTATATTATATATATATATATTACGGAACAGTGTAGTTTTCTGTGGTCACCTGAGTCTCTTGACTGAATCGCACAGGTGTACCGTTCTCTGTTTGCACCGCCTCACACACACGCACCTGCGCCACAGACACACGCGATGTAAATGAAACATCAACAGGAAAAAAGATATCAGAAGCCGCCGCTGCTGCTTCCCCAGCATCCATGAGAGAAATCTCCACATTTCCACTGTTGTTACTGTGCGTCTCCACAAGTGGAATAAGCCATACAACAGATCCATTCACAAGACTGCATGTCCCAACAGAAGGTTCCATCTCCGCTACTTCAGCTCCATAAAGTGGAAGTGAAATACGAACATCATGTAATGATTCTGCCATGGCGCTATCCAACTCATACTCCATTGTAATACTTCCTGTACTTGGCCAACAGGAAAGGGTAATAGGAGCCTGCATCCCATTACTGTTTTGTACACGCCAACGAAGTATAGTTACAGGTTGTTGTAATGGAAATGGTTTATTCTCCCGCATAGAAAGTACATGATCCTCTGCAAACATCTCCTTATTCACCTTTGCATGTGCACGGAAAGAGAACTCATTACTCATAGGAGCCAGTACCAGTTTCACCTTTGCCAACTGTGGATCCGACACCAGGACGGAGAGCTCACCGCGGATATCCACTGTCCCTCCCTCCCCATCACGATGGAGCTGCGCGCTAATCTTCTCCTCCACAATAATGTGTAATCCCTCCACAGTCCCTTCAGGCACAAATGCCCCTCCCACTCCTCCTGTCGTAGTAACAGCTCCTCCAGCTCCAGTTGCTGCTGCTGTGGCTGTAGAGGAAGAGGATGGGGCGGTCCCAACAGGTGTGGATGGTGGAAGTCCGGCTTCTTTCAATACACGTGAGGTAATATCCGCCTTCTTTGCCTTTCCCAATGTCAATCCACCTGTACGGGCCGGTCGTGAAGTTGTGGTGTTTGTGTTTGTTAAACCTCCAGCAGCTGCAGTAGTGATGGTGTGGCCCATACCCTGCGGGGCAAAGGGAGAAGTGCTGCTGTTATCATGAAAACCACCAACTCCACCAACAACAGGAGCACCACCACTTGTACTGCCAAAGCCAGCATATCCCGGATCATTAGATCCAATGCCACTGTATGGATTCATACCTTTACGGCGTTTATCCCGCAATTCATGTGCCTTACGAGAGGCATCTTTCTTAGCTCGTTCCATTTGCAGTCGTTTCTCTTCTCGTGCCATCATTTCTTCATGAGATTCCATCTCCAGATAGGTTTTGATTTGTTCCACCGTTGTATTTTCTCGTTTCCCACCAACGATTACTTCATCAAGGGCGAAAAACACACGAAAGGCTTTCGCCTCCAATGTTGCCTCCGTTACCGTTTCCACATATTCAGGAATAAGTCGACCCATGAGATGTAATGTGGCTAAATCCTCAACAATATTACTGCTCTTAGTTGTGATAAGTACAAGGAAGAGTTCCTCTAATGGCTGGTATACATATCGCACAGCACCAGCATCAATGTACGTTACTTGTTTGTTAACAGATGACTCAAGAAGCCTTGGAAAGGCAGAGAGAAGTCCTTCAATGCGAATACGTGAGATTTCATTAAAATTTCGTGAGAGAATAATATGGCCCTGTTTATTCACCACACCCGCAGCAATAACAGGCATGATGAGAGGCACACAAGGAAGAAAAATGATGTACTATCTTTGTTCCTAATTTTTCTTTTTTTTCTTTTCTATTTTATATCGTATTTCTCCTCTATTGCTCTCCTTGACGTTTTCTTCCTACCTTTTTTTCTTTTTTTGCTTTTCAAACAAATTTTGGCTGTATCTTTCTCTATCACTCTAGTAGTAGTAGTAATAGCAATGATGGCAAGAAGAAGGGGGGAAAAAAAGAAGCAAACCAAACAGCAATAATGATTTTTCTATCCACATAACTATAATCAGAGGCATTAATGGTATATTAACCTATTAATATTCCCATTACTATTATTATTATCAGTAATAATAATAGTATAGTAGAATATTGTTCTTCTTGTATTGATGATAATTGCAATAATATGTGTGAGTAAGTAAGGGGGGCCATCTGAAAATAAAATGTCAAGAGAGCCTAGTTTTTTTTTTCTTTTCTTTGCCTTTCATAACACTCCCTTTTCTGATTTTGTTTTCTTTTTCACACAGACTTGTTTAAGCAAGAGACAAATAAGCAAAAATAAGTAGCAAACGCTCGCAAAAAAAAAAAAAAAAAAAAAAAAAAAAAAAAAACTTTAAGTGATGTATGTATGTGTGCACACACACACACACATCCACACACAAAGACACACACACATATATATATATTTCATGCATAGGAAATAATAAAAACATATGCATACACACAAAGAGACTTTTTTTTTTTCTTCTGACATCAGTTTATATAATATATTTATGTACAGCATTGAGAAAACATAAAGAAACCAAAGACTAAGACAACTTTTCACGGGAACGCATAAGAAACTAAACATAAAAGCAACTATTTTTTTTTTTTTTTTTACCTCATCCCCCACTTTCTTTTTTTTTTTCTCTATCTTTTATACACAGGTCTATACCCCAGAGACGATCTACTCTCTTCTTGACACTGTAATATCAATTTTATCCATATCTACACTGCCTTCTCGCTCATCTTCTCTTAAATGAGGTGAGGCATCAGTAGTAGTAGTAGCAGCAGCACCAGCACCAGCAAAAGGTGAAACAACAGGAAGTGTAGCTTCAGTGTAGTTCACATTATCATCAAGATATGCAAATGGAACATCCCAATACCGGTCCACACGATACACCGCCTCTTCAATGCAACGTATCTCTTCATCAATGTCAATTTGCACTAACTGTTGATGTTTTGGCTGGTATTTTGAAACAGCATCTGACTGACACGGTAGTCTTTTGCTCGTGGGACTATCAACAGCACTCTTGTTATCAGCGTAATTACGAGCTGTATACTCTTCCCCCTCATAATCATCATCATCCTCATAATCATATTCCTCCCTTTTTTTCTTCTCCTCACCCTGCACCTTCAGACTTTCCATAATCTCCCTGTATTTATTATCATTGTCATTATTATTATTGTTATTATTAGTACTATTATTATTATTATCATTATCATCATCATGGGAATGCTCTTTATCTGCCATGAGTCTTTCCGAGAGTTGTTGCATGGTCGATCCCTCTGTCACCACCACATCTTTTGCCTTTTTCCCTCCCGATCCTCGCGGTAATTTTCCCACTTTTCCTCCCTCTTCTCGTGCGGTATCCTTTGCCGTTGCCCCATACTGCCCAATTCCCACTATTTCTTCATCATGTCCAAGTAAACGCCGGGCATTCGCAAGTGACGCCACCCACCGTCGGGAGATTGCAAACACATACAACATTAATAAAATACTCCCCGCCAGTGTAATGGAACAAACCACAACACCCCCAACATGTCGACGTAAACTCATAAAGAGAACACCACCCACTCCACCAACGGCATGTAGAGAAGTAGCGGCCCGCATGACTTGTGCACAAGCCGCCAGACCCGCTGAATGGCCACATCGTCGTGGATGTTCACTGGGACGATGGGAATCCAACAACCGTCCACGTTGAGTGATATAGCGAAGAAGAAGATAAATCCCAACAAATACCGCTAACAATGGGACCGTCATGTGAAAAAGAAGTCCCATCGCTAGTATGGTGAGATCTGAACTATAAAGAGAGGCCCAGGTAAAACCACGTGATTTGAAAAGATTATCATACACACGCTGTAGACTCACAAGACGTCGACGACAAAATACAAGGAATATAGCAACTGGGTCAATAAGGGCTAACCATGTTGTGACAAAAGAAGCCATAATCACATTCGCATACCAATACCCACCTTGAGGACTCACCATGGCTACAAAAAAGTTAATAGTAGCCACACTGGATGGTTCTGAAATGAGATCGGCAAGTTGGAAAAACCCACCTTGTAATGCTGCTTGAAATATCACACCTGTAAGTACCATAAAGAGGTACTGTAAGTAAAGAATACCTCCATTAAGTTCTTCCTCATTTACAGCTCCCATAAAGATAACAAACCATTTAATAATAATAGGTAATAATAAATTTAGTAGATATAATAATAAAACAGGAACATATGCTGTAAAAATACCACGAAGTCCATTGGGAATACTCAAATAAAACTTATATATAGGACCCCCAATTCCAGGAATACGGGCAAGATTATCAAGTGAACCAAGAAATCCAACAGGTACAGACCAGAAAACAAGAAGAAGTAGATAAACCCCTAAAGCTAACAATGTTCGAACCCACCCTGAATATCGATCCGCAGTAACATTTATTTGAATAATACCTTCTGGTGGACCAGCAATACTAGCTCGAGTATGGGAACTTCCCCGAACTCTAGCTTCAAATAAATTAACAAATTCATACGCTGATAAAGCATCAGCAAATACAATAAAAGCACAACCTTTTACATCTCCACTCGAAATATCCTCAATATATTTATTTAACTTGGTTGCATTCGCAATTAAATCTTCTTTCCAGTAATCTACTCTTGATACCTTTCTACAACAAGAAGGAAATGGTGCACGCATCAATAAGACATTTGAATTCGGATGATGATTCCCTCCCTGCTCTTGTTGTTCATAATATTTCTTCATATCTGCCACCGCTTCCTGAAAGGCTTCCATAGCTTTTTCAGTCCTACCAATGTATTTATACATTCCTCTTGGAGGGTCACGTGGAAAGAGTAATTGTTCAACTTTTCCATATTTGGTAAATACAGCGTTTTTACGTGTGGTTTTATAATAATTAAAACTAAAGATAGAAAAAAGACAACCCAATCCTGTACAATCTAAGTAGTGATATACCTCACTCTCATCATCATTAGTATCATCATTATCATTATAATTATTTCCATCCTCATTCTCTGCAGGAGCATTTCCATTCTTTTTTTTCCCTGGTAACCCAAAATATGCTCTCTCTACAAGAAATTTCTCTCGGAATTTTGTATCACTTGCCCATGAATTCTTTAAACTACGAACAAGTGCTACACGATGACCAAGACTATTCTCCATTTGTACCCGCATTACTGTTGAAATGTACGCATCTACATGATGTACATAATATATTACACCAATCATATAAACAAGACCAAAACCCATATCAAGGAAAGCTACAACCCATAATCTCCAGCTCCGTGGTGTAATATTCTGTGCAGAAAGATCATAAAGACCTTTTAAAGGAACAGGAAAACACCCTGTATCTACAATATACCGGCAAAAAGGTTCACTAGCAATACAACCGGTTTCATTAGTATCTTGTCGATGACAATTGTGAATATCACGACTGACTGCATATCGTTCTATATAACCATCCGTCCCAGATAATACACATATCCATATATTAAATATTGCACCAACGAAGAATATAGTAATAAAAAGTTTAAGAAAAAAAAGATAAAGGGCAATCTCTGGATCAAGTGGAATTTTTGTTAATTTCTTAATATTTACTTCTTCTGTAGAGAATTGAAGGTTATGAGGGATTTCATGTTCTTTCTTTTTCTTCTTTTCTTCTTCTTCTCGTGCAAGAGCAGGATCAACAACACCTTCTCCACCTGTAGTTTCTTTACCTTCTTCGTGCGTTTTTCTTTCTTCAGGTATTTCTGGGGAATAAGAGGCTCGCACCTCTACATGAGAATCATCACCATTGTAAATATCTTCAAGTAGTGATCCATCTCCAGTAGTACTACTACTAGACTCATCATTCGCATAGGGAAAACGCCCTACGGCGCTTGGAAAGACATTCTCTATGTGTTCTGCTTTCTCTTCAATACTTAACCAACATCGCCAACTTGGAGGAGACGTAAGTGTGCATGGATAACGCAGTGCTCGCCCTACACGAGATATACGAGATGCACGGGAGGCAGAAAAAACAGATGACCAAGTTCCTGTTGCCGATTTGTCTGGAGATTCGGTATTATCGGAATGGGAAGCGGTGAGGGAAGTTAACTGCAAGACTACAGTATGATTAGCCCGATAACGTCGACGAAGGACTAAATACGGAGAGAGGTGGAAAAATAAACTGACGCTTACGAGAATGACGAATAGAGTAGAGTTCAAAATTAGAGCAAACCATAATCCCTGATCATCCCAGGTTGATCTTGGACCAAGCGAAAAGTCCATTTGTTTTTCTTCTTCTTTTTGTGTTTATTTTTCTTTGTTTTGGTTTTTTTTTTGTATTTTGAAATCCAAAATTATTTTGTATGCCACAACTACGATTAAAGAAAGAAAGAAAAAGAAAAGAAAAGAAAGAGTGGTGGAAATAAACCTAGAGAGACATGATATTTCTTGGGAGACAAGCGATCAAGGATATCGTAATAATAATAAAGGGCAAAAACTCACACAAACAAACACACCACTTCATCTCTACATTGTTGTTGTTCTTTTTTTTGTTTACTTTTCCAAAAAAAAAAATTTTTTTTTTTTCTCATATTCTGCAGTATCGTAAACTATACATTTGGACTAGTGACCCTCCTTGAAGGAGACATGTAAGTCTTTTTTATCGCTACGCAGGGACATTTGCCCCATTTGGGTTTCTTTACTTGTTGTTGTTGTTGATGATGATACTGCTGCTGTTGCTGCAGTGGCAGCCTCTTCATTTTCTCTAGGTGCTGCCTTCAATGCCCCTGAGAGACTCTTTTCATCTTCTTCCTTCTCTTTCTTTTCTCCTTCTTCTTTCTCTCTCACTTCTTCTCCTTCTTCTTTTTCTTCTCTTCTCTTTGTCTCTACCCAACTCTCTGCGGTGGGGAGTGTCTCTGGCAGCGGCCCCACTCCACACTCGAGCACCACCACAAACCGCGATGGATATCCATTCGCATCTCCATAAGGCGCCACCTCACGCATAAAGTCCTCCAGTCCACGCACGACTCGACCAAAACAAACATGTCGTCCATTTAACGCCCGTTCTTCCGTTGCGGAGGTGGTGATAAAAAACTGGGAACCATTACTGTTGGGACCATTGTTGGCCATAAGAAGAAGTCCAACCTCATTTATACGACGACGTTTATTCTCATCCGCAAACCAACCTCGACCAAAACTGGAGAAGTGATTCGCACCCTTGTCCACACGCATAGTAAGATCCCCACCTTGGGCACAGAACTGAGGAATAATTTTATGAAAATAGGTTCCACGATAACATGGGGTGAGTCCCTGATATAAATAAGTCTGTCCTTGTCGACTGGTGGAACAGCCAGAACAGAGATTGCGGAAATTCGCACACGTCTTTGGAGCCTCATCATCAAAGAGTTCAAACTCCACACGAATCACACACACTGGTTCACCAGCACCACGTGTGGAGGCTAGAAGATCTCCTTGATTCTGCAACATACTCCCAGAGAGAGAAGGAACAGAGGGGAAGTTGTTGAAACAGGCAAGTTCCATCCAACAAGTTGTGTGTTCGCGTCGCTGCATATGACTCGCATAACGTGAACCAGAATCCGAAGTACCAGGCGTGAGGGTGCAACCCAGTCGTGTACTTGCTGTGAGCTGCATAATCACCAGAATCTTTCACTATATATATATATTTCAAAAAGATTGACTAATATCTATCTTCCTTCTTTATGTTTTGTTTAACCGCTTTCTTCTTTCTTTTTTTTTTTGTCAGAGACAAATACATGCACCACCAGATTATAGAAGGTGGAATTATAATTTCCTATTGAGAAAATAATAATAAAAAAAGAACCAAACAACAACCCATAATAAAATACACAGAAAGAGAAAAAAAGAGAAACAAAGAAAATTTAGAAAAATAAATAAATAAATAAATAAATAAATATATATGAATAATAAGGATTAAATACTATCACCACTTCAGTAGTATCTATCGATACATTTGAGGTCCTTTACCCTTTTTTTTTGTTACTGATACTTCACTTTTTCTTTCTTTGTGAGTAATAGTAGGTGTGACTTTAATATGTGAATAAACAAATGCCTTCTAAAGGCAAAAATAGATTTCTCTTCTTTTCTTTTTTTTTCCCTCTTAAACCCTCGTATCGAAAAAAAAGAAAAAAAGATAGAGAGATGGAAAGTACAAAGAGACGCTCATTTCCTCAAAACGGTGAATAAGGACTAGGTGAGGGGCGTTTCTTTGGCGCTGTATAATGTCGACCACTTTCCATAAAATTTTTCATGATTTTATGCATATATGGTTTCGGTAGATTTGGGGACTGCTGGTTCTCATTATTAGTGGTGGATAAATCACTTGCTGTGTTGTTTGGTGTTGGTGAAATAGATGCAGAAGAAGATTGTGTAGTCGATTGTTGTGGTGGTGGTTGTTGTTCTCGTTGCTTGCGGCGTGGAAGTCCTGCACGATAATTTGTCAAAACATCCTGATCAAACATGCGGAGTATATCTACTGCATGAAGATAACAGGCACGTTCCGCATCCTTCTTCTTTAATGATATCCCCACAGCCAACAGACGCTCTGTTTCCTTCACTACATCCTCATCGACCTTCTCAGTGGTAGCTGTATTCTGTGATGATGATAATGATGATAATGACGTCATATCAGGAGTTTCTTCTACTCCTGTAGATGAAACTGTATCCGTTTCTTTCTTTTCGACAGTTTTTTGTAAATTGTCTACCGTAGTAGTAGTAGTAGTAGTAGTAGTGTCTTTTGCCTTTTTCTTTTTCTTCCCCTTTTCAGTTAACGTATCATTAGGGATATGTTTACTCTTCTTGGGCAACACAAGTGGTAGGTACGCAATGTTATGTACACTCACTTGCCTACCATACCCAGTAATATATACAGATGCGTTTACATTAACATTCTTGGGTAAATGATGTCGAAGGTAATTCTGCACGCATACCTTCGCTTCATTACCATTTTCAATAATCGCCTCATCACTGAGGTTCTCACCACATACTGTGAAATCATCTGGAATACGTAACTGCAGTATTCGTACGGTATCACGTATGTGTGGTAATGGACGTGGTTGGTTACCTTCCACTATATACCCAGGAAGATAAGGTGGACGTTTTTTCTTTTCTTCTCCACCCACCAGTCCTCCTCCCACAGCAGCAGCAGCAGCAGTAGAGGAAGAGGAAGAAGAAGAAGAAGAAGAAGTGGGATTGTTTATATGATTTGTTGTTCCTGCCGCTAAAGAAGGAGCTGGAATAGCCACAAGTCCTTTTCCCCACTGTACATCCTTCATAAGATCATTTGTCACCAGACCAAGTTGTTGTCGCTGTCGCACAAATTGTTCCTGCTTCTTGGGATCTGCATAGAGAGGTATACCCAACGCACACAATGTATCCACGGCATGTAATGCACATAGATCCATTGCCTGTTCCATCGTCTTTCCTACCGCATTTCCTCCACGCACTCCAAATACCCGTGGTACTGGAAGTAATGTACTGGCACGATACTGTTCTCCCATGCGAGTAATAACAAAAAGATCAGGATGTGGATTACGTGCAATTTCACGTTGCCATACTACTAACGCTTGTCGTGCCTCCTGAAGAAGTTGTGGATCTGGGTTAGCCTCAATATAATCACCACAATAATTGTTTACTTCATTATGTGCGGCAATAATTCGTTCACTAATGCTACGTTGATAGTTATAGTTATTACAACGACGCAGCATCTGAGGATCAAGCCACACTTCATCACCCCCTACTTGTTGTTTTAATGGGAGTGGAAGAGGATCATGTGGACGTGGGTGTTGAGTCTCTTGTGTGAGAGGATTTGGAGCCCATCGACCAAATCGTTCTGTTGCCACTGCGTGTTTTGCCTGCCGTTCCATATTGTTAGGAAACAATGGACGTGCAAGAGCATCTAATAACAATTCCGCATGCATAGCGGCAAGATGTTCAGCACATTCACGGGTTTGTGCCTTTCCACGTGCCACTACAGCATCATAGAGACGAATTTCCACTATATACATTCGCGCTGAATGACCTGGTACAGCCACGTGGGAAACGGCTATACGATCCTTTAGAGCAATTCCCTGCTGTAGAAAGTGATCCTTCATGCGTTCATACGCTGCTGCCTCATACACACATGGAAGCACAAGTGCATCCGGCGATGGTGAACATCGTGTGGAGGCGGTATTCACCATTTGCCACATTCCTCCCTCTGTTGGATCAAAGTTTACCACACCAGCATTACTCATAGTACTAGTAGTAGTACCCGTTGTTGTTGTTGTGGTTGTTGTGGATCCTAATCCTGCCGTACCTCCACTACTTCCATAGGAACTGAAAGAAAGCCATGGATAGTGGACGGTAGTGTGATACGTTGCTGCCTCATTCCCCTCTACTGCAGCTGCGGCATTATCATTGTTATTATTATTATTATTATTATTATTATTATTATTATTATTATTATCATAAGAAGAAGATGAGGAAGCATCAGAAACAAAAGTTGTCTTCGTCGTACTCGTACTCGTAGTAGTAGTAGTCGTATTTTCTGGATTTGCGGTATGGGATCTCACTCCTGATGCGGCTGTTCCTACCGATTCCAACCGCCCTACAGTCTTTCCACTTATATGCCGCTCTCCAACAATCTCCGCCTCCGCAATCTTCGTCGCAAAGACTCCCACCACCCCCGCCGCTGCTGCTCCTTCTCTCTCTCCACTACCACTATTCCTATCACTATGATCGGCATTCCTTCCACTATTACTATTACTATTCATAGGAGTGGTGTGTTGGGTGGGGAGCATGCGAAAGGGCGGTGGGACGGGCGTGTTCTCCGGCCGCACGGGATCGCCGGGCATCGGCGCATATCGTCCCGCACGCCGGGCGGCCGCCGCGTGTCGTCGCTGCATCGCCGGCAGTCGGAAGAGCGGCACCGCGAGGGCGTCGCACACCCGCTCCGCATGCATCGCCGCGAGAAGTTCCGCATCCCGCCGACTCGCCGCGAGGCCCTCCGCCACGTACGAGTCGTGCGGGGCCGGCAGCCGCAGGCGACAGCGGGCCCGATAAACCACCGTGAACTCCTTTTCCGCTTCTCTCTCCATTGCCGTGTTGGGGTGATGGACATCTTCTAGTCTTTCCTCGGTCACTTCAAAGACAGCGGCACCTTCACTTTCACCACTCGTGCGGCGGACGTAATTCACCACGCGGCTCTTCGCAAAGGGATCAATACAAGTCACATCACAGTACGCACCAGACAAGGGAGACGGCATCCCACCACTGTTACTACTGTGACTACTCCTACTAGAAGGATGATGATAATGATGATGAGGATGACTATTACCACTATCATGCATATCTACATCATCCGCCTCGGTAGCACTAACACTACTATTACTATTAATGTTACTACGATGGCTATCATGATGGTGTTCCTCCTCGGCAGGGAGAATTTCTATGGTCACCATTTCAGGTGCAATCGTCTCAGTTACAACAGTACCACCAACACCACTACTGCTGCTGGAATACGATGATGATGATGATAAGGTTTGATAAGAGTTCAATAGTATACCACTTCTCATAGTAAAACAACGGTACGCCACACATGAGAAAGAATGAGTGTGAAATACCACCAGCCGTCGAATTCCCTGCATCTTATCTCTCTCTCTCTCTCTCTTCCCACTACTAATGCTGCTGTTGAAAGAACCCCCCAAAAAACAAAAAAAAAAGAGAGAATAATAATTCTTTTGGTAAAAGTAAAAAGAATAATTGTACAGAATTACACTCCATTCAGTTTCCCATTAGAGGGTGCATTTTTTCTTTTTTTTTTTTCTGTTCTCTCTCTCTCTCTCTATATATATATATATATATATATATATATGTTCGCCACAGATGGATCTTATTAGAGATCAGAAGCAGCTACAAGAGAAGAATAGAAAAATAATGCAAAATACACATTCAAAGAAAAGAATATATATATATATATATGGTGTATAGTTGTATTCATTCGCTGAAGAAACACAGTAAAAACAAACAAACAAACAAAACAACACTTGTTGTGGAAACCTCGACAGAAGGGATCTGAGAAGGGACAGCACATAATAAAAAAGAAAAGGTAAAAAAGCAAAAAAAAAAAACAAACAAACAAAAACAAAAAAAAAAAAAGAAATCAAACGCACGCACATTCAAACATAACTATAAATGTAAATATGTGTAAACACATGCAGATAAACGGAATCAATATGAAGGTTTTGTCTTTCATTTCTGATGCAAACACATAATAACACGTACACTTCCTGATAAAACAAAAACAAAAACAAAAAACAACAAGAAACAAAAGAGAGTCTAATAGACTCTAACCACCTTTATGCATCCGTATTCATCCCTATTTCCTTTTTCTCATTTCACAACACCCATAAATAGATAATGACAGTTTACATTTAATACACAGATAGCATATATACAGATAGCATATATATATATATATATATATATTCACGCAATATATTCAAAGACGGTGGCATCTGTCTCATTTCGCTGAATAAATCCGCGTCCAACGAGATCTTCCACTTGTGTCTTCACAGACCGTGCACGAGGAGTGAAGAGTTTCGATAATTGTTGAACCGTCGCATCGAATAACTCATAATATCGTAATGAACGTCGACTCTTCATAATACGAATAATGGCGGCATCAATCTGTAATCTACGTGTATCTTCAATAGCTGAAGAGAGAGAAGAGGTACCGTCATTATTGTCATCATCTCCACAAGCACGTCCTTTTCCACCTGCTGTATGAACTGGAAACACACGCGCTACAGGAAGTTTAAATTTGCGAAGTTTATGCATGTAATCAACGTTAAGCGTGAATTCATCCTCTGGAGATAACGGTACATCCATTCCAACAGAAATATGGAAAGAAGTAGAGGAAAAAGGAATAGTATTAGTAGTAGTATTAGTAGTAGTAGTAGTGGTAGTAGTAGTAGTAGAATCCATTCGATTTGATGGTTTTACCCGAGTGAGTAAATTATAGACCTTATGATGTACAAGAGGAGCGAGATGTACACGAATACTCTTGAAATCCATTCCCATTGCAGTGGCGATATCTTGACCGGAAATAGAACGTCGAGGCGTGTTGATCATTTTATCCACACTGCAATCATTATCATTAGTATTATTATCTTTATCTTCCATAATACCCATACTCTCATCCTTACTACTACTTGGAATAGTAGTAATAGTAGTAGTAGTAGTAGTAGAAGTAGTGGTAGAAGGAAGAACAGGATCTTCTTCTTTTTTAACCTTATCAAGACTCCTTCCAGCATTATAGGCATTACTCACTAAAATAAGAATATGCGATTGCATTGTATTAGCCACTATCTCTTTTGTCCCACGTGGAAACACCGCATGTAGAGTAGCGGAACCCAATGTATGAATCCAATGTAAAGAACGGGATGGATGTAAGTTTTTATAAAATTCTGTATATGCTTCCATTCCAACAGCTAAGGAAGTACATGGAATAAGAGGGATTACACGGTATGTAGGCCAATGAACAGCAGTGAGAACCCGTACTTGTATGTCTGCTGGTAATAATAATTCTTTTTCCTCCACTATTCTATGAAATAAATCCCCACCATTTAATGTGGATTCATAATCCCTCAACATCGCCTCTAAACTATACGTTAAGGTGCGTCCAAGTACTTGTTGTAATTTACGAAGTAGTAAACGTTCTCCATCCATGTTAAGATGAGTGGATAAACCTGTACTGCCCATTCCTGTTTCCAATCTTGATAAAGAGGATACCATTGGTGAATGTAAAAGAAGAAGACGATGAGCCAATTGAAGTTTATAATGTTCAAGAAAGATATCTTTATCATCAATAAGACTAACAAGATAAGCTACAGCATCCATTCGTGCTATTACATCTTGACTCTCCACATCCCCATTATTCATTTCACGTCTACAGAGATAATCACAGTAATTGGCAAGAAACTGTGCGGTTGGGATCTCCTCATCTCCACGCAGAGTGGATAATTTATTTAACACCGCAACTGTCTTCTTTGCGGCATCGTGATTAAGTAAAACACTTGGAAGTTCAGATGTCGCAACAGCGGCGGAACCACGTAAGGACACACGTCCACCAAGTTGACCCCATTGCTCTGGATTTATAATTTCATGAAAAGCATCCCGCATTGCGGATTGCAATGGTAAATAATTATCAAATTGTTTTCGAAGGAGATTACTATATTTTATCGTCGCCTCTACAAGTTTAACAATTAATCCCATAGCTGGATCTTGTGTGGATGATGATGATGATGATACTGATGCTGCTGCTGCGGGGTCTCCTGTTCTTCTTCTCATATGAACAACTGTAGTAGTATCTCTATTATTATTATTATTATTATTATTTTCATTATTATTATTAATCATATTATTACTACTACTACGCTGCTGCTGCTGTTGTTGTTGTTGTTTAACAGGAGTAGTCGTTAATGTGGATCTCATGTTATTAAGAGCATTAACATCCAAATGAATGGAATGAGTGGACTCAGCAGCAGCAGCAGTAGTAGTAGTAGTAGTAGTAGAAGGAGAGGATCGTTGTTTTTCTTTCGGTATTGCTTCTTTAAGGGTCATATAATTATCAAAAAACCCAGCTGTTTCTGTTATTATCTTACTAGCAAATTCACTAGCAAGTAACTCCCAAGAGGATTCATCCTGCGTATTAATAAAAGCCATAACGAAGGTATGCATATTTCGTAAAAGTTCATCATCTGAGAGTTGTTCCCATGATTTCACAGAAGAAGAACTTGGTATACTCATTACTGTTGGAATAGTAGTAGTATTATTAGTAGAAACTACAGTATCTGTAGAGTTTAGAGTATTTGTAGGAGTGGTAGAAGTATACTGAACTGTGTCCATAGACACAATTCCTCCATTTCGTCCACTCCATGTATCTAACTGTGCTCGAAAACCAAAGTTCTCATCTAATATCACAAGTCTATGCACTTCTACTAATAATATATATTGAAGTTGTTCACGCAATACCGCATGGAAGTTTGTTGACATAACATCTCGTACCATATAATGTTCAAATTCAAAACATTCCTGTACCCACGACATGTAATGCCAACGTTTTGAAGGTTGGGCGAGATGTAAGGTTCGCTGATCACGATAATAGGCCTCTGCTGCTAATATATACGGAATCCCAAAGTCTGCAAAGATAAGAAGATATAATGGATGAATGGCATTTACAATAACGACTTGAGCTAAATCCACTCCAGATTTTGCATTGGATCCACGTCCACGACCACTACCACTACTACTATTACTATTATAATTATAATAATTATTATTACCAATAATAGTAGCAGTAGTATTATTATGATTATTATGCGTATTATGATTAGCACTCATAGTAGTGAAAGGAGGATAATTAAAACTATTACTATTACCACTACTACTATTGCTATTATTACTACTACTACCTATGATCAGCTGGCCTGTAATAACATCCGCAATAGTGCGGTTCTCTAGTTTTTCACGCAAAATACGAATATTATCTAATGAAGTAAAATCCACTGCCTCTTTTTCTCGTGTTGGAGAACCATTGTTACTATCACTACCACTACCACTACTATTACTATTATTACTATTATGATTACTATCACCACTTGCAAAGACGGAGAGAGGTGATACATCCCTTGTATATTTCTTAGTTTTTCCATTTATTCCAAGTGACTTCTGCAATTTCTCCACTTCCGCAATAATACGATAGAGCGTATTCTTTCCACTACCACTACTACTACCAACACCAGCAGTTCCTCCTATTCCTATTTCCATTCCATTATTACTAGTTGCAGTTCCAGCACCTCTTCGTATATTTATATCCCGTGCGGTGGAGTATTTCTTTACAGTACTCACAATCTCTGTAATAGCGGCAAGTGTTTTTTGCACCTCCACACTTGCCGGTGAGGAAATGAAATGATTATTTTGATAAGCCACTCGTGCTTGATGGGCTACGGCCAGCATTCCCTCTACTAACATTTCTCGAATAGGTTTATACACCACCACGTAGAATACCTTTACACACAACACCGTCACCTCATCAAGAGAGAACTTGGTTGTATAGTATTGATCAAGATAACCAAAACAAGAGAGTACCACCCGACGGAAGTTCATAAACAGTTTATATTGTAAAACAAATTGCTGACAAATACTTCCAGATGATGAAGAAGATGAAGAAGAAGAAGTTGAAGAAGAGGAATGTAAATGAAAGTCTTTGCGTAAAAATGGACGAAGTACATTAACCTCCAAATCATTTATTAAAAAGAGTACCAAACGACGATACATCTCAAGTGCACTCTTTGGATTACCACTACATGTAGAGTAAATCACCGCATACCAACTCATACGAGTTCTAACATTCTGCAAACGTTCCTTCATCTCTGCATTGCCTGTACGGATAACATGAGCGGCATGCATGAGATACGCCTCTACTTCTGGCCATACTTCATCTACAGAAGGACGTTCTTGTATGCGGGCGAGAGACCCTGTTCCCTGTGGACGAGAGGGACTATCATTGATTAAACTACTTTCTTTCGTAGATCTACTACTACTACTATTATTATTATTATTACTGTTATTATTATTATGGTTGCAGGTGGAGAAACTAAACGAAAAGGAAATCATTTTTTCTGTTTTTTTTTTTTTCTTTTTTCTTTTTTTAATTGTAGGAGAAAAAAACGTTCTACCTTTCTAACTATTCAAACCTCCTTTTCTTTTTTTTTTTTTTTCTTTACTGTTTATGCAAACTTACTCACTCACTCACTCACTCCCTTTTTCTCTTCCTCCTTTTATCTTCACAGGCACTGTCAACTTCCACAGTTTTACTTATTCAAGATACTTCCTCCTCTTCTTCTTTGACTATGTGTGGTAGATACCTGCACGTAAATGAATATGCCTTGAAATAGATGAATATTCCTAAAAAAATATATGTATAGCTGTTACTTATACGAATTTATGGTCTCTTCCTTTTTCTCTGTAAATAAATAAATAAATAAATAAATAAATAAAGAAACACGCTTGTTACGGTTTCCTTTTTAATATATATAAAAAGAACAAGAAGAAAAAGAAAAAGAAAAAAAGAGGATTATATTTAACAGAGTCAAGGAAAAAAAAAAGAAGTTTACATTCTTCTTCTTCTTAAATGAGTGCATATAACTTCACCCACACCTTCCATATCATTTTTCTTTTTTCCATCAATTCTTCCTAATGTGAGTAAAACCAACACAATAATATATTATATATATAAATATAATGTATGTACAAAAACACCAAACGCAATAATCCTCTCTCCATCACATTGAGAGAAACCACAAACACTCACACTCACACACAGCGAGTTAACGCTATTTTTATTTTATTTCCCACCTTGTCCTCCACGATTCTTATCATTGGAAGATTTTGCCGGACCCTTCATTGTTTGACCCTTTGAACCACTCTTCGGTGTATTTAACTTTGAGAGTAAATCGGTCATACCCCGTGAACCGCCTTGACGAGATCCAAACACCGTACGAACACCACCACGATCCCCTTCACTTCTTCCTTGTTGTTGTTGTTTACCATCACCTTGTTGTTGTCTTTGTTGTTGTTGTTCTTGGCCTTCTCCTCCTCTTTGTTGTTGTCTGTATTGTTGTCTCTGACCACCTCTCCTGTAGTCACCGCCGGCTCCACTACCACCAAGGGTCTTGTGAAGATCACGTCCACCTGCAGTTCCAGCAGCAGCAGCAGCAGCAGCAGAAGCAGCAGAAGCCGAAGAAGAAGAAATATTAGTATTACTACTATTACTACTATTAGTACTACTTCCTCTATTATTTCCAGTCAAAGACTGTTCAGCACTGCGGCCATCCAGAATATTCCGCCAATATCGTTCACTATTTCGACGGAATTCCTCAATAGCGGCGGAACGTTCACTTTCCATCGCGCGTGCTAAACCTCTCGCACTATTCTGTGCTTCTTCTCGTAATGGTTGTACAATATTAGAATAATGCTTTAATACCTTTTGATAAAAGCTAAGCATTGGCATAGTTCTGTAGAAGAATCGATTAAATGTAGCTACAATACCAGCTCCATTTTTAGCATTTAAGAGAAACTGTAATGCTGGGTTAGCAGCTATAACCTTATAATGTGCAGACTTTTCTAGTGCTCGACATAATCCTTGATCAGCATCTGTAGTAACATACACTACTTCTTCTGGACGTCGTGTAAAGTAATTTAAAGACTTGGAATTGGCAATAATAAATCCAGTTGCAGGGGCTCGTGTTGGACCTGCAAGAATACCATGTTTCTTAAAACGTTCAACAGTTTCAATATGTTCAGCCTTTATATTATCAAAAAGAAATGGACCTTCAAGAGGATCTAATAACTTTAATGCTGTATATTGTCCAGCCTGTGGACCATCTGTTGTGGAATCCACTTCAAAGTATCTACTACCAGGATAAACATCTGGATGTTGGGTAATATTGTGTAAAAAGGCAATAAAAGCTTCTATCCCAACTGAAATATTTGGTACATATTTTCCTTCACAATAATCATCATATAATTGTGATACTTTTTCATGATTTCCAGCAAATACAGGCATTAAGGTAGCAAAAAATTCATGTCGTAATGTTGGATTTCGTTTATTTTCTCGAATAGCATATTGAATATCCATAACAAGTCCATCATTACGTAAAGCGAGATCTTCAAGAACATGTACCACCATTTTATCATCACCTTGACGATTCCTATTATTATTACTACCATGAGAAGATCGTTGTTGTCCTAATTGCCGTATAGCACTAGAGAGAGCCATTGAACCTTTACGCTGTTGTTCATTTCGTGACTGTACGGCGTTATTCTTTCGATCTCCTGCATTTCCATTACCACTATTCGTACTAGTACCAGTACCAGGTCCTCCCCAACTAAGAATGAGAGAAGCGGGAACTGCAAAGTCATCTCCAACAGATTCTTGTTCAGGACAATTGGCAAGACCACGAATAACAAGTGAGATATTCTCTGATGTTACTCCCATTCGTCCTAATAATCCAGCAAGTTCACGACTTTTTACAAAAGGAATAACATTTCCACTCCACCGTGATGATCCTCTATGTAATTGTCCTGTCTTTTGCGCAAGAAGACTTGGTGAAATACCTTTACCAACTAATGCAGCAAGACCTAGTTGAAATTCACTCACAACTGTATTTTCAAGATAAGAATTATACTGCACATCTGTAAAATTAGCACCAGAAGAATGTAATCGAGCTCGTTTTAAAAGTTTAAGAATAAATGGTTCATCCGATCCACTATGACCACGTTGAGTAGCATTTTGAAGAGCATATGCTGTAGGATCTACATCTGCCCATATCGTTCCACTTCGTTCTCCACCACTTCCAATAGGTGATAATGTCCCATCTACGGTTTGAAGGGATAACTTTGGTACATTTTCAGGAATACCAGTATTAAAGGTTGTAATTTCTTCTTCCAAGTATTTTGATAACACCTGTGATAAGAGAAGTGATGGTGGACGACCACGTTCTCGCCATTCATGAAGTGAAAGTAATAATTGTCGAACATCCGCTTCCCCATTAGAACACTGTTCTAATGCCCATTGATGAATATCTTTATCTCCAAGTTTTTCATTAAATAATCTTACCAATGTATTCTTATAACCCAAATCTCGTACACGTTCATCTTCACTACCAAGTGTATTGTAATGACTTGTATCATGTGAAGGAGAGTGACCATGTGGTCCAAGACCAAATCCTTTTGCGTAATCCTCCGCAATCTCACGTATACGTTCACCAATACCAGAGGATGTCCCAAACGGTGGAATTTTTCCACCAAAGGGAAGACCTGCACTATCAATAAGACGTTGTTCTGTTGGATCTAATAATGCCTTTTGCTCTTTATTATGTTGTTCCCATCCAAACTCAAATGGTTTCCACCAGGTTTCATTTAATTGTAGAGAACTTACCTTGGAAGGAGATTTAATAAAATTTCCTGGTCGACGTCCACTAATATCTCGTAATGCTTGCTCAATCACATGCATTTCAGCATCACTTACAGGTTCTACTTCACTCCAACCATTTTCAAGTTCATTACGATCTACTGTAGGAAGACCTTGTGTACGTTGATATTCCCATTTCCCACCAAATGGTACGGCCCGATCACGACGATCTGGTATAACTTCAAAGGCTTGTGGATTATGAAAAAATTGTTTAGAAAGTAATCGATCTTTATATTCCTTAGTCTCAAAATCATCTAATGTGGTATGTTGTGTATATCCAAATCGTTTACGTTTAGGGGTATATTTACCTGGAATAAGCGAAACCCACTTTTCCCGTTGAAAAGGAGCTTGTTTCAATTCTTTTAATCTTTCCTCTGCAAAATCATTTCGAAATGGTGTCTGCCATGATGGTGGATGCTCTAATGATTCCACAGACAATTCTGAAATATTAAGAAAAGCCTCTCGTACTTGATCAGCAGTCCCAATAGGCTCCGCTACACTGCGATCCATCACACTTCCACCTCCTTTAAGAAGACGCCACTGAACAAAGAGAACTCCATTGCGAACACCAACTACTTGACCTAAAAATTCTTCACGTGCGGTACGTTGAGAATCTAATATCGTAACTCGCCCCTTTACATGCGGTGCGGAAACATAACGAATAGATGCCCAACGATCACGAATATCTACACAATCCGTTCCAAGAAAAACAAGTCCACGTTCGCGTTGTCGTGCTGGATCCACATACATAGCACACAACTGCCACTCGGAATCACTTCCTTCCTTTGTTACACCTACCACTATTACTTCTTCTTCTTCTTTTTCCATTTCTTTTTGAGTTTCGGCATTATTGTTATTATTACCGTCCACATTTTTTGCACGAATCGCAAGCCAATCACCATGTTCAAAATCTCCAAAGAGACGACATGTATCGGGTGTGGTATCTAATAAGAAATGTTTACCATGAATAGGATCACTATATGGTACCGCTTCAGGTGATGGATATACATGTTTAATAGCCTTAAATAGAGCACCAGATTGACTAACACGAAATGGTTGTAAGGAGGCAGGTGTGGTGTCAAATACCCGATAACCATCCTTATCTGGGAAAACAATACTACTGCTACTACTATTCATACTACTTCTGCCACTACTATCCCCAACATTCTTATTATTGCTACGATTATTATTATTACTATTATTTTTATTATTATTATTATTGATGTCTGGTTTCATTTTTGGATTCTCCGTCTTCATTTTAGCTTTCTCTGCCTCTAATTCCTTTTGCAACTGTTCTGCCTTTGTTGCACGAGTCGCAATAACACTATTAAGGTATAATATTTCACGCCATTCACTTCCTGTATACGCTTCCTTTGGAAGTCCTGTAGAGAGAAAAGATTTTTCAATCCCTTCCTTTACCTCACGCCAATTTACAATATGTTTTGTTTTTGGATCAATTTTATATGGGACTATAGCGGAGGTATCCAAACGCCAAAGTGCGGGTGGTACACGTACAACTCCCTCTTCCTTTTGTTGTCGTCTATATTTGTTCATTTCCATATCAATACGAAATTGAAGTGGAGAGAAGGGAGGTTTTTGAACTTCTCCAGTATAACGTGCGGCTTGACTTTCCAATGTAAAACTGTTTGTAAGAAGATGTGGATGTGGTGTGGTATCAAGCAAGTGATCTAATGATTTCTGCATCTCTGGTGTAATCGTAATAGCCCCAATAAGAAACTCTTTACTTCCTCGTAATGCATGTATAAAATCCAATGCCTTTCCACGTTGTTGAGTCCGTACATATACCCGCAATAACGCCTCTGCCTGTCGTTGTGTATGTTGTCCAGTTCCAAAGTATGGATCTTCTGTGGCTCGATGCCAAAGTGCCTCTGCTCGCCGGGCCACCACCGCAAACCATTCACGGCCCCAACGTTGATGCGGCGCCCATCGCCCACGATGTCGACGGAATGGGGTGTTGGCATCACCCTCACCGCAGTAACGGGTTGAACTATAGGGAAGACTACACCGTGGACAGTGATCGGGATCTACATAATTACCTTCCATCTCAAGAAAAATACCAAAAAGATCCTCTAGAGCTGCAGGACGGGCAGATTGGAATTGTTCAAATAAATACGTATCACGGAAATCAACACTACTTAAGGCATCATGAAAAGCAACGAAGAATTCATGTACGTGTTGGGTATGACGGGATTTAAATTCTCCAATATCTCCTACAGCATCATAATGTAATTGAATAAGATACTGTAAACGAGCAAACCAGGCTTTACAATGCTCTAAACTTTTAATATCACGTATCTTTAATAATTCTGGTCCAAGTACTTCCTCTGTGAGAGGACTACGTGGATTACTTAACTGCGCCCCATGAGCTCCAGCACGGTAAAGTGTCTGACACCATTCAGGTTCATAATGTAGATTTGTAATGGCCGGCCGTGGTATACCTTTATACCGTTGATCTGTATGGGTTTCATAGGCTGAGAGATCATTACTACCATCCGTGTTTGCCGCCTCAAAGCCATGAGGTCTACCAAGTAATTGATGTAATTCCCGTTGACCAAATACATATTCCCTAAAGAAACGATTATTCTTCGCATCTGTATCGGTTTCCCACAAATTCATATGTCGTGTATAGAGAGGTGTAATAAACGGTAAACCACGACGTGATTTCCCAACATTTCGTTCGTTACTAAAAATACCATAACGTTTTTCATGAATGTAAAAAGGTTGTCGCATCTCATCATGTTGGAGTTTAGTGGCATATTTGAAGGAGAAACGTTTCTGTACGGCCGTTGAGGAAAACACCTGCAATTCCTCCCCCACACTTGTGGGAAGTCCACCAATGTGAAGACGACGACGCAGCATCTTTACTTACACACACAGACACAGAGACAAAGACAACTGCAATCACGGTGTTAACAAGTCACCGCAATTCAGTAAAAAAAAAGTATATATTAAAAAAAAACCTATATATACAGGAATTCATATGAAAGAAATAAAAACAACAACAGAAGAATGAAAAAATAATATGAAACCAAGAATTTACACGCTTATGTACAATAAACCATAGTAATAATAATAATAATAATAATAATAATAACACAGACGGGTATATATATATATATATATTTCTTTGCACTGATTCATCACAACAGCTCCCTCTTCCCCTCACTCACTCCCTTCCTTGCAGTTTCTGGCACTACCACCATCAGACGAATAATAATAATAATAATAATAATAATAAACAACCAACCAACCAATCAATCAAACAAATAAATAAATAAATAAATAAAAAAGATTCAATATGTCTGTAGTGTTTCTGCATCCATTAATATGTCTGTTGTGGATGAAGAAACGACCATCGCCTCGTGGGTACAATACGCGAGATGTTGCGTAAAGAGCCACTCGTGCACAGACTGAAGTGTTACACCAGCATTACGTGTATACATTGCCATCTCATTATCATTATTATTATTATTATTATCATTAAAAGAAGAAAATGAACAAGAGACTCCAAACACATCATGCACAAGCGCGTAAAATGCTTGTAATCCATTCCTTTCTTTACAAGAACGTCCCTGTATGGCTATCTGTTGTTCCTTATTTCTCTGTGCAGATGGGATACCCTCGTAGGTAATATTATACACAGCCTTATCACAGGCAAATATAAACTCAAACACAGCCCGAGTACGGGGTAAGTGAAAGTCTGAAGTGATTACATGTAAATGACGCCAACCAGCCGGATCTGCATGTACAGTTCGCAAAAAATAAGCATTTCCAATTGTATCAAGACTACTTGTTTCTCGAATAATATCATGAGGTGTAAGCCATGAAGCCATTTCTTTTTCATCAGCGACCTTACCTTTCTTCATCGTCGTCATCGCATCTACTCTTTCTTTACACTTTTGTAAGAGATAAAGAGCTCCACTAGTACTTTCACCAATAGGCCAACCAACATGATTAATGTAATTTGGTTTATGTGTAGTTCCCGCACTGAGAAGCACAAGTTTTGGTCTTTTTCCTTTTCCTTTTAATAGTTGTTCTGCACATATTGTATGATAACGTTCATATGCGGCATCTAAGCGTTCCAACACAAACCATGGAAGACTGGCAGGGTCTTCATTACGTTGTGAACCACCACCAAGAACAACAATAGCGTCCACAACGTCTAAGGGCATATATATATATATATATATATATATATATATAAATATTTAACGATACAAATAAAAAAAAAAAACTTGAAATACTGTGTACTAAAACTAATGGTTTAGGAAGAATACAATAAAAAAGAAAAATACAGAAAGAAAAAGAAAAATACAGAAAGAAAAAGAAAAATATTAAATCCCAAACTTTTTTCTTTTCTTCTCTTATAGTGATTCAGAGTTCCAACTCTTAGTATATATATATATATATATATACTAAGAAGAACAAAAGTAACACGTCTTAAATCTGTGTGAAATACACCCCAACATCAACATCAACATATCCGCAGAAAATGATTAAGAATCATAATAATAATAACAATACGTTTTCTCTCCTTTACGCTAATGCTGGTCGTACTTCTCGCACGGCCGCAATTAATTCCTGCAGTCCACGTCCTCCGCTGGCTTCTTCATTCACAAAATCCAAATAACGCACATGACAGCCACGGACCACAATACTACTAATACACCGAAGCGCCACTGGATCACTCTCCAACTCCACTGTATGATTCTTTTTACCCGTATTCTTCATACCACCACTATTACTATTATTATTATTATTATTATTACTGCCGCTGTTGCTACTACCATGTGAAGAAGAAGAAGGTGGAGTTTGATGATGTAATCGCCGCACTGCTGTATCTGAAATAGCATCCAACTTCATATTCATAGTTTCAGGATCAAACTCAACAATACGGCCAGTCAACAGAATGCCATTTGTAAGCTCCACACGCACAAGGGCATGCAGTACAGCACCACCAGCAGCCAAGACAGATGGTATTCTGTGGGTATCAACACAATCCATATATAAATATATATGTATATGTCTGCAAACACTTGCGGGACCTCTAAAAAACCAAAATGGTAAAAGAATAAGTTAATCAAATGAAAAAAAAAAGAAAAGGAAAAGAAGAAAAGAATCGCTTTCATACATGATACAAATAAAAAAAAAATATGCAAAAAAAAAAGTTCATCATTTATTCTTCTCTGTTTGGTTCACTCTGACGCTGGATTCTGTGAGGTTCACGGCAACACCGAGCAACATGGAGAGATCACAAAAAAAAAAAAATAATAATAATAATAACAACAACAGAAAAAACAAAAAGGATAAATATGAAACATAGATAGTGTGTGAGTTTGTGTTTGTGTGTGTAATTGAGTCAATAAGAGACAAAAACACACCACCAATCACTACCACTACTCAATTCCAATTTCTCCCTTTTTTGATCAATGCAAAAAAAAAAAAAAAAAAAAACAGATAATGCTGTACATTTGAACGTATGTAACATAGGACCTATTAATATACGTCATTTTATTTTATTTTTTTTTCTCTCTTTTTTTTTTTTTTTTTTTTTTTTGGGGGGGGGGGTTCCATTCTTTTTCCATCCCTTTTGCAAATTTCCACATGCCTTTTCATTCCATTTTTCTCCCACCTCCATTTTTCTGTACAGGCTATACCATGTAAACATATATATATATATATATATATATATATATGTCTGTGTGTGTGTGGGTGTGTCAATCATCACGTGTGTAGTACTTCAGCACATACTCCTCTAAAAACCCTGGGAGTTTATCATACAATGGACGTATAGGGTTGGGATCATAATATTGCGCCAACACACAAAGAAGATCGAGCCATTCAGGAAAGAATAAAACATGAGGCTCACGTACATGATCTGCCGACACAAGAGAGAAGAAATCCGCCAAAAGACGTGGAGTTACTCGACGAATTCGACACCATTCAAATTCCGCTGCCATATGCTGCAATCCACTGAGTGCCAACACCCGCGCTATTCCAACATCCATCGTTCCACTGTTATTAAAAACGCTGCTATTACTAGTACTAGCACCAGCACCACTAGGATATCCACTCTGACTTCCTTCAAACTCTTCATTAATAAAAACACTACTGACACGACTACGTGATTGAGAAAGACGACGATCCATACCAAAGGAACGACGCCTGGCAACATCTGTATCAGGGGCAGCGGAACGCATCCCATACGCCTCTCTTGGTTTTGCATAATATGTAAAGAGAACGTAAAGGGCACTAAGGTGAGTTGTGAGACATGTACGCACCTGCACATGACGTGCAGCCCGACGGAATGGATCTAATGTTGGGCCGCGAAATCCATGCGTGATGATCCACTCATAAAGAAACTCACGCACCGCCACTGGCCGAAGTGTCCACGTGGAGTCAAAGGGTTCATAGCGGATTGGATCATTTCGCGAATGACTATCACTACTCACATTCACGGATGGTACTACTGTTGTTGTTGTTGTTCCTGTCGTTGATGTCTCCTTTTCTTTTCCTGCATTATCTGTGTCTTTCCCACCTTTTAACGGATTATCTGACTCGTCTTCTTCTTCTTTTTCTTTCTCCTCTTCTTCTTGTTGTTGTTTTTTTTGTTGTTCTTGCTCCCGCCTTACTTGTTGTTGTATATTATCCCACGCATGTGCACAACGTAGGAGGGCTTCCATAAACTCTGCCGGTCCAAGACGTATTTTATAATGAGTGTCTTTGAGATCTATTTCTGTTGTTTCTCGTCCTGTAATTCGTGGTCGTAGTGATGGTCTCAATACGGAACTCGTTAACTCCATTGAACGTTGAATACTACCACGACGAGAAGCCACAGAAGGCATAGCTTCCTCCCATACTCGTGCAAGAATACGTCGAACAGCCACACGATGTAGTTTTCCCTTTCCACCAGCCACACGACAATCACGTAGAAGCCTCCAAAAGTCTAATGCTGTAATATACATTGGTCCAACACCACCAGCACTACTCATGCTAGCAGCTTTATCGTTGTTCTGCTTATTATTACCACTTCCACTTCCGTACACTGCATACTGCATGAAGAGTGAACGTAATTTTGGAAATGCATTTTCTACCGTACGTGCGATACGTAAATAAATACTACCAGAACTAAATGCCTCTTGTGGTAAAATATCTGACAAACGCAATATTGTGATATTTTCCATAAACTTTGGTGTATCTTCCTGTACCTCTGTAGAGAAAACAGTTTGTGGTTCAACAGCAATATGTACAGCATGATGTAATGCACTTAATGAGGCGGCAATCCATCGTTGTTGATTTTCTACCATTAATGGCCAACGTAAATGACTCTCAGGAGGATGATACCACCCGGAACACCGTCTATTACGCTTACCAAGATGTTGATCCTCCGCCGTAGGAGCTGACGATGCAATTGGAATCGGATGTGTATCATCTGTAGCACGCTGTCGCTTTACTTTACACTCTAACCAGTTCGCGAAATATCGCATAAGACCAGCGAGAAAAACAAGTTGAACACCACGTTTACGGGTCATAAGTTGTTCCGCTGTTACAATACACACCGTACCTGTAACCGCCTTATATGCCTCTACAAGTGTCTGACCTACAGTAGCCTCAAGTTGTACTACTATGGCAGTGTTAGTATTTGTCTCTTCCGGCATTACAGAATCATCTTCAAACTTCGCTCGTAATGATCGTATACGCATATCAGCAATACATACTTCTTTGAGTTTAGCTAATGGTGGGCCACCTTCAGGATCCATCGCCCGCATAAGGGCAAGAAGGCGATGAAGCGGCAGTAAAACTGTTGACGCCTCTGCTAAAAGTGCTGAGAAAGGAAGATCCTCCTCTGGAGTGTCACGTAATCGCATACGCATTTTCTGTCCATTTTGTTCCTTTTGCTTTAAATCAAGCTTAACATGGTCAATGTTTTCTACAAAATCTTCATCTGTGGTAGCTAAAAAGAGGGATCCAAGTGGACTTTCCAGTAATGTTGTATTTGCCCACAACACAAGTAACTCTAGAGGTGATGGCGTCTCCAACCATTCATGTTGTTGCTTTTCACGATGATAATGATGAGGATTTTGGCGGTTATGTCCATCTAATGTAGGAAAAGGTGTACGTAGTAATAATGAATCAAGTAATCTCGTACCCACACGATCTATTTCACGTACCTGCGCAATCCTCCGTTCATACTCTTGTTCCCTTTCCGCAATACGTCCTTCTACCTCTACACGATGGTTGTTTGTCGCCACTAACTCCTCACTTAACTCCGCACTTTTACTGGTAAGCTCTACAATCTCAGATTCAAGACTTTTTGCACTAAGTTGTAGTGCTGCAATACGGGCTCGTACGGTATCAAGTGCTGCCGCACTCTGCAGTCGCATATTAGCAAAAACACGCCAGAGACGTACCGCAACGCGAATTCGTTCCGCTGCAAACCGTCTTGCCCACCTTGCTCGATATTTCTGTTCGCGCTGTCGACGATTGTGACAGACATCATGCCAAGCCTTAAGGGTAATGCGAAGAAAGGATTTAATCCAGTTTGCGTTAAGTAGAGCAAAGATGCGTGGGAGACGTTTAAAATGTTGCTGCCGTGCAGCATTCGCATGTGCGAGTGTAATAACGACCTGAGTCAATTCATGATGGGCGAGGAAGTACGTTTTACGTGCGTAGCGGGAGAGAAGCAATGTTGGAATAGTTGCTGCATCCACTGTGCCTGCCTCAACCGCCGCCACCAAATCTGCTGCCATCATTGGTGTTGTAGTATTGTTGCTTGTGGTGATGGCATAATTATAATTATTACTATTACTATTGCCCTCTCCCCATTCTGGCAGCTGCGGGAGATCCTGTAGGAGCTGCGGGTACTGCACGGTGCCACCGAGTGCTGCCCGCATCTCTGGTGTGTCTGGCACGTACACCTCCCGCAGGAGGAGGGCGATGCAGGGCGCGAGGGTGTTGCGGTGCCGCGGGAGGGCGTCGGCGATGGCCTCGAGGAGGCGGCCGGCCACCGCGGCGCGGACGGCGAGGCGGCGGAGTTGCGTGGGGCCGTCGGCGGCGGGGAGGGCCGCGGGGGGGCGGAGGACCGCCGCGTGGAAGAGCGACCGGGCGAGCAGCACGAGACCCGCCGCCGCCGCCTGCTCCGCCCGATGGCCGGCCGCCCACCCCAGCGGGTGTACACACGCCCAGCGGTGACTCGCCTCCTCTTCTTCCTTTTCTTCTTCCTCGTCGTAGTGAAGACGTCGATGTTGGGGGGGAGGGCTTGTGTTGTTTTCCTCCGTGTTCTCATGACCTTTGTTCTTGTTCTTGCTGTGGGCCCGTTGGTAAAGGTGGGGGAGGGAGACAAGTGGGACTCGCTTCCCCGCCTTCCCCTCCACTCTTTCCTCGCTGGCCGACTGCTTTCCAAAGTACTTTGTGTGGGTAATGGGCGGCAGGGGCTGCAACGGCCGCTTCCGAGAGGGTGTGCCACTCATCTCCAGACTAACAAACAATAATAACAATAATAATAAAATAAATATTAGGAAGTAAAATAGGATAGAGAGAGAGAGAGAGAGAGATTAGAAAATAGAAGAGAGACACACCTGTACTCCTCGTTGAGTTCACCCACTCCCATCACCAAAATAGAAAATGAAAGGGATAAGGCTAGGGTTAAGAGACTGCAAATGAATAGCAGAATTCAGAAATTACACCCATAACAATATATATATATAGGGAGAGAGAAGTGAAGGTGATATAGGAGACAGCACAAATGTCTTGAGAGGAAGTAAGCAAAAAGGGAAAAAAGAAGGAAAGAGAAAGAAAAAAAAAAAAGATAAGAAAACAGAAATCACATGATTCCCTTGCCACAAAATAAATAAATTGAGGCGTCGATAGCGCAGCATATTCACTTCTCTTTTCCTTTTACACTTCTTGTTACTCGCTTTCTGTTTTGTTATTGTTGTTTTTGTTTTACCACTCTCATCGACGATCAAATGACATAACACCAAAGAAGCGGCTGTTCCGTAACCACAGAGATGACAATGCATTTTTTACCAAGTGATATAAGCGCATTTTAGTAACGATAACCACACCATATACGTGGTCACACAAGGATAGACGTGAGTAACGTAAATGTATTTTATTACCACCTCCCGTACTAGTAAAAGTATTATCAACAGAAGAAGGTAATACTGTTGGAGTCGGCTTGTTATTATATCGGGCAAAACAGATACCAAAACCTGTTGACTGTACTCTATTATTATTATCCATTGTACTTTTATAAGGACTTCCTTCATAGCTAGTGTATGTGATTTGCATAGCAGTTGCTAATCCAGCATATGTAGCGGATCGACACTCATAGGGAAACAATTCAATCACAACACTTCCTGGTTGCATCACCACTGTAGAAGCTAATGCGACCCCATGAGGTACAATTAACACATCTGTTAATACTAATAAACGTAGTAATTCCAAGTAATCCTGAACGAATACAACACTATATTTTTTATTTACCTCTTCAGTAGTATTAACTGTATTGTTCCTACTGCTAATGTTAGTACCAGGTAGGTAGATGAGTTGAACTCGACTCACGTAACCAAATTCATCATATAAGAATGACATCATTCTTTCTTCTTCTTCTGGTTCACCATCTATCTCTTGAGAAGCTATTACTGTAATAGTGAGTGGACTCAACTCATTTAAAATTGAAGCTTCTCTTAACATACCAGCAAGTGCAGTTGCTACCGCATTCTTCTCAGAATGATTACCCCTATCTTTTCCATTAATACTCCTACTCATACCATTATTATTATGATGATAGTAATAGTAATAAGGACTATCACTTGTCCCGTTAATCATTTCATCTGTTACAGCAGCGAGTATCAAACGCCATAGTATTGGAGAGAGTGGACCTTTTCCCCACATGGCTAAAGCAGTATTCACAATAGCAGTAATACTATTAGAATTTCTATCATTATAATGTTTCTTTTGTTTTTGTAAATTACTATAGTGCATGTAGTGAATCCATCGTAGACGAAAACGATTTGCCACTATTTTTGAATGAAACCAACGTGAAGGACGTCGATCAGCTAATAGTATGTACTTTGCACAACTAAATTCCTGCAGGGAACGTAGAGGTTTTAACACATGTAATGATGGGGATATGGAACCATCTTTATTTAAGGCTGAGTTCTCTGCATTACTTATTCTTAAGTCTATCATCACATAACGTACTGCAGTTTCATCATTAGAAAGAATACCACCAGTAGTAGTATTAATATTAATATTAGTAGTATTAACGATATCTCTTTCATTCCACCATGGTTGAAGTTGAAAAAGACCTGTTGCCACCCGAATCCAATGAAGGATATGATGTAGATCGTGTTGTGTTTGATTCCTCTGATCACAATCTCTATTACCAACATCTACAATTAGTTTTGTTAATCGTGAAAGGCTCAACACATCCCCTTGTACAGTACGTACATGAAGAGGCTTATTATTATTATTATTATTATTATTATATGACACATCTTCTTGCCAGGCAAAGAATTGTGCCATATCCCGCATTAACGTACTGATATCACATCCACCACGAACTAGAAAAACAGATTCCGTGAGAATCTTTTCTTTTTCTTCTTCTTCCTCGTCTTCTTCTTCTGTAAATCCACGAAGAGAGAGATGTGTTTGATTTCCAGCAAAACAAACTTCATGTTCAATGCGATGTCCACTTATTTCCAGTCTTTCCCCTACAGCATCTAATATATCATCCACCATTACACCCTGATAGTTATTATGATTATGATTATTATCATTCGGATAGTAATAACGAGGTTGTTTACTGTAATGAAGATTATTTTTCATAGCACCATACAAAAGTGTAAATGTAAAATTCTCCTTTGGAGTTTCAATACTATTTCGTATGTTTTCAGGTTTATAAATTATGGTAACTTCCTCATCCTCCTCATCGTATGGGAAAAGCAATCGATGCCATAGTAGTATAGGCACCAGTAACACCAATAACGCTAAACTGAATGAAATGAAGGGTCTATTCCCAAATATAAGAAGAGATCTGCGTAGACCTCTTGCCGTCCATAGTGAACGATTTTGTTGTCGTTGTTGTTGTTGGGATGACTGTGAATGGCGAAGACTAAACGGCTTTAAACTCATTTATTTTTATTATTTTATTTTGTTTACCCGCCGCGGTCAAACCAAGGGAATAGAGAGAGAGAGAGAGAGAGAGAGAGAGAGAAAAAAAAAGAAGGGACTGGGTGTATATGTGATATGGTTGCCGCGTACAGAGCCCTAATAGAAGAGAGAGAGAGAGAGAGAAAGAGAGATTAGAAAGAAAGAAAATACAATAAAAACAAGAGAGTAATTTCACTACGAAGAGAAACAACAGCAAAAAAAAAGAAAAACACTCACTCCCACATATATATATATATATATATTCAGCAAGAGAGTAAACCTTTATATATATAAAGGGCAGAATGTATTAATTGGATAACTAAATAAGAACATGAATACTTTTATATAATCATATCACCACTATATATATATATATATATATATATACGTGTATATACATATATATTACTGAAAATAGAAAAAAAACAAACAAAAAAAAAGACATACCAGGATAAAAAGAAAGAAAAAGAAAAGAAAAAAAACAACGGAATAAGGCGAGAGTCTAAATAAATAGAACTACAATTCACTCTCTCTCCATGTTCTCTCTTTTTATTCTTTTTTTTTTCTTTTAATCCTACAGCTGTAAAATGAAAAAGAAAAACATCAGTAAGTACAAATAAACAAACAAACAAACAAAAAAGAATCATTGTACATGCAATCATAAAATAACCATATTTAATGGTATTCATTATCACAGAGTATGGACTTATCGCAATTCCCCACACTTTATTCCTTAGTCTTTCTTAGGCTCTCTGTATATATATATATATATATTATATACTACAGGTGCCTACTACTCTAATTGCGATGATGTCTCATTCAATCATTCCCCTTTCAGGTTCGTATTGTTGTTGCTGTTATTCTTCTTCAGCTATCCAATAATAACAATGATAACAACATTAATAATAATAATAAACAGTACACTCAGAAATGAACAGAACAAGAAAAGAAATAAAGAGAATAACAACATTAACACTATAAATCTGAAAGGGCCTCAGCTCATCAAGAAAGCAAAAAAAAAAAAAAA